AGTAGTGCTATACTTATAAGAGGTGTATTAAATCAAATCCCTTTTAAGACTTAACCTCTATACTTTATAGTTTTTGAATTCATTTTTATGAAAGGGAAGAATTTTTTGCCCTCAATACGTTATTTTATCAAATACCTATGATATGCGCCCTGAGAATAAACTTGTTGCTTGTTACTTCCATCAGAAGATTGGGTAGATTATCATCATATTAAATCATATCACTCCAACATCTCGAAGCCGCCAGACCTTACCTATTTTCTGACGGACAAAATATGTTTGTTGTATTTCTGTATATAGTGAACGTATATGTAAATTTCTACTATCATACACGGACGTCCACTTCTCTGGTACTACTTACTTATAGTCTGAGGTCTGATTTTTACGTATGTTATAGAAAATATTGTAAAGAATTTAAAATTGCTAATACCAGACACTTCCTGTTATTAGAATTTTTGCCAGACAATTTAAATATCGACGTCTAAAATCATAAAAAGGTAAGACTTCAATGGAAAAATTTCCAGATAATACCTGAGAATTAGTTTACGGGCTCTTGATTACTTATTTTAGAGTTTTATTTGGTTACATTGTACGAGTGTTTATTACAAACTAGGTTGATGCAATCATCATTCTAAAAAAGTTTCGAAATTGAATTATTTTTTTAAGTGAAACTAATATTTTTCGGATTATACTACGCGATTTTATTTTTATAATAAATTACATACTCCCAACGTTTCGGTTACTTTTCAGCACCCGTGATCACGGGCAGACGAAATGTGAATGTTTTTCAGTTGGTCTTGTTATTTATCACCTACCGCTATTGATTTCTAAATTTTCTGGCGTACCGCTCTGGGTGCCACGGATGTAGGGTCACGGACATTCACCGCAGGACCTCGGAACACCGTGAGCGTATTCTGCCGGCATCCAGAGCGGTACGCCACTTTATTTTACGGTACGGTAAAATAAAGTTGCTTAATATAATCCGAAAAATATTAGTTTCATTTAAATGAATAAAACTCGCAAAAATCTTATATCTCATTAACTGAATTACTCTTGTCATATTGATGATTATATAATTACCTTTTTTATTGTTATACAAAGTTTAAAAGGATATTTTTTTGTGTAATAATGTAACGAATAATTATGACTTGTATAAAACTCAAAAAATATAGGAGATAAATCAACGCCTGATGTCTTTTATACTCCTGGTCTTTACTAATAATTGCTCCTTTAAAATAATAATTTCCTAGACAAATGGTAGTTTCAGGCCTGTTTACTTTTTCACAATTTGCTGAACTCGCTCAAAGAAAATTTTAGTACTTACTTTTTTTTGACTCAAAGGTATTAATTTTGTTACAGCTCTTAAAATTGTTAAACGATTATTGACGCCTGCGTCCTATAATTTATAAAATGGTTTAAAAAAATCTTATTTCATAGTCCTTTATTATAATTTTCGATATATTCCTTCCATCATATTCTGGCGCCTTATGCAAAATGCACCCTAAACATAAAATGGATAAAGTTAAATGGTTATATTCTAACTTACGTACTTACGATTAATCGAAAATTTTTGATAATAATTTTACTTCATTAGCATTTCGCTAAAATTAGTAAGACGGCCATCTATCGCAAGTAAATGGCAACGTTTTCGAACAGTCGCTACTAAAGCTGGCTTCCGGCCGATGTGGCCGTAAACAGTAACAGGCTGCCTCTTCTCCATACAAATATGTCACGTCAAACCTTATGTTGAATGTAGAAAATATTTGTATGTAAAAACATACGTATGTGTGGGCTTTGATAGTGTCGTCGATATTGTACACTTCATTGTGTAGGGACTACATATTTTACCCGGTGTGATGTCTGGCTATATTTTCCGCAATTCTGTATTTAATATTATTTTGCTCACAAGTGAATATATTTTAATTATGTCATTAGTTATTTAAGTATCAGTTTATAGAAAATGTTTTCTGTGAGTTCTGGTTTTATGAGATTAAATAATTGAAACATTGTCATACATCCTTCCTACCTCATCCCAAATCTCTATGTACGACCCTAGTATCTACACATCTACAACAAAATCTTTATCAGTTCCGTTTTATCGCGGACGAGAGAGATAATTAATTTGCCTAATGAGAAATAATTAACCAAATCAAACCAGGTTTCTTTTGTTAATAGGTTATTAATAGGTTTAGTTATGCAGAGTAAATTTCACAACAAAACAAGTAAATGTTATAGAAAGTATTTTTTAAAATAGGAACTTCTTGCAAAGGGGCTTTAATTTGATTTAAAAACACATAAAATACAATTACATAAGTACAATTCCTACAGGTGTTACATGTGTCATCTCCTAATTGTAATCCTTCAAGTCTTTCAAGGATATAAGTATGTAATAGATTTTGCACGAATTTCTTGCAAAGAAACAGCTTATATTTGACAAGTAATCTCGAAGATTTGGCCTCTAATCACTATCGTATCGAAGATTCCATCATGTTACATCCCATCATCATCACAAAATAATTCTGAAAATTTTATCTTATTATAGAAATTATCAGAATTGTACATGGCATAAATATTAGTTGTAGTCAGGTATATCTATTATTTATATTATTATGTTTTATATTACAAGAAATAACCTAAGGTCATCTCTTTGTTTTCGACATACAATCATTAGAGCCTAGCTGTGGTCAAATTACTGTTACTCGAACATGGTCTGGGTCGACCGGGGAAGTTCCACCATCGTCCGATGAGTGAGAGAGCCGGTTGCCCTTTCCCATTTCCTATCCTTTCCTCTTCTTTTTCCCTAATCAAGGGTGGCAAGGCATCCGCAAAATACTTCTGCGGATGTCCATGGGCGACGGTACTACCTCCGTCAGGTAGACTTTCTGCTCGATTGCACCCTGTGTCATAAAAAAAATATTTGGCATATTTGGCAAATATCTATTGCAAGCTTGATTCTATTATAAATAAACTATATCTGGTTTTCCTACACTGTCATCAAAGTTTCTTGTGATTGCGGATTATCGAAAAAGCAGAGATATTTATTTGTATTAACTTTAGAAGACACTTTACACAGACACTTGTTTACGTCATCGTAGCAAAAAAACATTTAACTCCAGTCTTCCACACTATGCGTTATGCGTATAACAATGTGTAAAGAGAAATTTCAGGAACAGTATCTAGAAAAAAATATTCAAAGTTAATAAAGACCAGATAACGCGATTCAACACTATGAATTTTAAAAATGATAAAATAAAAGAAAAATACAATTCGTAAATAATGATTCAAAGATAGTCAAGTAAATTAGAAGTTAATGAGGTAAATAATTATAATAGGTTAATAATCAATTTTATTTGCTACTTAATGTTGCTAACGACCCATACTGCGTTATTTAGTATAATGTAGCATTTATCTGTATTTTGTTGCTACATTATGTATGCTTTAATGAAAGTGTAGATTGTGTAATCATGAATTTATAACCTACTTTCTAACAAAAAATATATATAGATATATTTTTCAATTGTATTTTCGCTTGAATTTTAATAAGCTTAACAGAGTAGGATTTTTTATTGTGTTTAATTTATATAAAAGCGATTTTCTCCGTTATCATGCAGCCTCAGAAGATCCGTATGAAGTACCCTTCTACGATATTCCGATGTACATAGGCTATAAGAACCGTATTCACTCTAATGGGTCACTTCATGTTACATTGTATTCGAGGGTGGAGTGGACTTATTTGATCTCGAGTAGTCTCACTTTATCAGCCCTGTTTGGCCAACTATCATCTTCTACCGTGTTAGAAACCAAACTCATTGCATCTCTAAAATAATAGGGGAACCATTTCGCTCTGCTTTCCCCAGTCAACATAATGATTTATAGTCAGTCGTTTAACTGGCCTCAATGTTTTGAGAAGTCTATTGCATCTAATGAAGACTAAATGAAATAAACTTTATGTATGTTTAATTGTTCATATCAACAAATTAAATTAACACAGATCAATAATGTTATTTTTATGTCAAAGATGGCAAACGAGCAGACGGCCTACTTGATTGGCAGTAGTGACCGTCGCCCATAGACATCCGCAACAGAGATGTTGTGGATGCGTTGCCAACCTTTGTGTTTTAGGACTAGGGAAGGGTAGGAATAAGGGAATATCAGGAAAAGGTGGAAATAGAGTAAGGGCAACCAGCTCTCTCACTCATCGAACGAAACGCAGCCATTAAAGACTACTTCATGCCGATCTTCTGTGAGAGGGTGGTACTTCCCCGGAAGAGCCAGCCCACGTTCCAGCTGTAGTTACTTACCACAGCTAGGCTCTACCACCTCGAAAAAAAATTTTTAGCAATATTTATGGCAGAACTGTGAATATATAAATATTGTATACAGAAAATTTAAGCAATATATATGTAATCAAATAAAAAACAGGTTCTTTAATTATAACATCAAAACGATAAGAACATTTAATTATTCCTTTAATTTATAAGAACATAATAAAACAGGTGCCATAATTTTAATTGTTGTCAGTTTTATATCGGTGCGAGGCACATATAGTTCAGTATCTGTATGTACAGGTGTGCCATAACATTCATTATAATAATATTATATCAGTTGTTACTACGCACCGAATAAGATTACTAATAATAGTCACAAAAGTATAGTGTCATTCTGAAATATAGTCTAAGTTACTTAAAATAAAAACGGAGTATCTACAGGTACTTCAAAAGTTTGGATATTAACCACACAGCAGAAATACAATAGTACAATAAGGCCACATTTGGAAAATACAAAGTAAGGAGTTAATATTATATGTTTATATGAAGTTTATTTCTCTTAATAATTGTCTTATCTATGTACGTTTTGCCCCAACTCATATCTGATAATCGTTTGAGAGAACCTTATTTCGATTTGGTAATATAGAAATAAATAACTTATTTTTGTGTTTTTATTTTCAGGACACCGCAGGTTTATAAAATTACTCGCATTGATCATCGTTTCTTGTTTTGGAAATGAAACTAACAATTGGAAGTTCTCAAGCTGAAGACCGATCAAAGACGACATATGGTATTACTAGAAATGTTGTGGCGATAAGTCTAGCTTTTATGATGTGTTACACGGCTTATAACGTTAGTTTATATTGAAATCTATCTTAAATATAACTCTATAAAAATTATCGTCCATTGACTTAATTTATTTGCAGGGTACAATAAACCTTCAGAGTTCAATCAATGCGGATGCTGGTTTAGGTACATTAGCTCTGAGCGTCTCCTCTGCGGGATATGTAGTATCAAACATGTTTCTACCAGTTCTGCTAATTAAGTAATTTAATTGTAGTTTATTTAAGACTTATTCTATTAATTTTACTGTTATAATATAAAATCTTTAATAACTACAGATGGATCGGCACCAAATGGACGATATGTTTATCCTATCTTGCTTTTACACCATATTACGCTGCGCAAGTGTATCCAAATTTTTACACTTTCATACCAACAGCTGCGATTTTGGGATTAGGCGGAGCATCACTCTGGTGTGCAAAGAGTGCTTATTTATGTACAGTGAGTCCTTATAATATATAAAATTAAAGAAAAATTATATTCTCTACGAAAATATGAGAATAGTAACGATCTTTATTCTCTTTGTCCATATTTATATCGTTACAATACTTTTTTATTACACATTTCAGGCATCCGAGAATCACAACAAAATATCAAACATCCCTTTAGATGTTTTACTGTCCCGCTTCTTCGGAATCTTCTTTATGATCTACCAATTAAATCAGGTTTTGGGAAACCTTATTTCATCTTTAGGTGTGTTAATTTTAGTTTTTTATTATCCGCTTTCATATTAATCAAAAATATTTTTTTTTTACTTTAAAGTTATTTGTAGCTATGTCTTCATGCTCTTCATTTCTTTCTTTATAGTTCTCTCATTAGGAGATAACGAGGCAGCAATGACAGCTATTAATGACTCCATTATACCAAAATTGTGTGGTGGTAACTATTATCCCAGCACAGGCGCTGAAGAAGTAATGCTGGAGCAACCACAGGAAAGAATACAAATTCTTACAGGTAGTTTTTGGTTTGAGATATCAACAAATAATGAAACCTATATAGTCCGGTGAAATTAGACATTCGAGGTTACATAAATTTCCACCAAGCTGAAAATCGATAAGATTGTTTAAAATATCATTAAAAACAAAATTTGAAAGTTCCCCATCTTTCCCCTGTTAAAGTAAAAAAAATTATTCAAGGTCTAAAGTAAAAAAAATGAGTTTTTCGCGATTTTCAGCAAAACGGTAAGTAAGTTTTATCATAAAAATATCTCAGACAAAAATTGTAGATCAAAAAATTATCTACAAAGAATTAATTAATACTTTTTTTTCTACGAGCCACCTTTTTTGAGATATAACGATTCAAAGAGTTGTAAAAGTTATAATCGGCATAATATGAAAACTATTGAAAAATAATGAATATTAGCAGAGATTGAAAAGATAAAAGCAATTTAAGTTAAAAAAAGTAGTGAAATTTAATCGTCTGAGTCGTAACTTCAAAATCTGGGGAACTTTCAAATTTTGTTTTTAATGATATTTCAAACAATCGTACCGATTTTTAGCTTGGTGGGAATTTATGTAACCTTACTGTTATTATTTGGTCTAATTTGACCGGACTAACATGATTATAACTATTTTCTTTTTATCATTCAGTTTTAGCAAAGACTTGAATTCTGAGACTATTGATATATTTTTCATTCCATATTATCTATTTAAATTCTACCACTTGTAATGGTTGTACATATATGTATATAACGCTAACACTTCTTGTATTTTGTAGGTATATTCGTGGGTTGTACGATAGTTGCATCCTTCATTGTTGGTTTTTTTGTTGATCCTATACAAAGGTAATATATGATTATATATAAGCTGTTATTCTTAACTTAGTATTGTTTATTTTACTTTGCCAGATTCTTTCAATTATTTAATAAACATTTTAGATTCGAGTAAATAACTTTCAAACAATTATTTAGTTATTGAAGAAAAATTGCTCGTAAATAGACTTTTCTATAAAAATATATAAATAAATAAACATTATTCTGGCATTAATTTCAGCAACCAAAATACGTCAGTGAATGGTTCCGTAATGACAAAAACATTAAGGCAAATTATCGATCCTAAGCAAATCATGTTGATTTTCTTTAACTTCTTCACAGGCATGGAACAAGCTTACTTTGCAGCTGATTTCACATCGGTGAGATTGTGTATTATTATATTATAAAAAATGATTTTTATTCAACTACTTTCTTGTACCTTTTACATTTTAACCTTTCTATAGGATTTTAATCGATATTGTTAGCTCTCTTCAAATAGTATAATTTTTTCAATTTAGGCTATAGGAATATGATTGAAAATTGTTGGGGAGATAGCTTATAACCAGGAGACGGGTATAGGATATTTAATTTTGTTTGATCGAAAAGGAAAAAAGAACTTCATAAATAAAAATATCTGGCTGTTTATGGGCTCTAGGGAGGAATAGAGTTTGCCCGGTCAGCTTTTACACATACATACATCTAATTCCAAACTTAACACGGCCTAATCGCGAGTAAAAACTAGTAACTTATAACAATAAACTTAAACGGAGACAAAATATTTTTCAGTCATTCGTGTCATGCTCAATAGGTGTTGGAATCGTGGGATTTGTTATGATGACTTACGGATTAGTTGACGCCATAGGGAGTGTTATGGTTGGACACTTGGCCAAGGTATTTTTTAAACAACTCTAAGATTATCGTTTCAGAACTAATGTAGCCAAATTATTAACATAAAATTACGTCCTAGAAAGTCGGACGTATCCCTCTTATGCTTGCAGCCTTTGTAATACAATGTTTTGTACTGGTGTTTCTTTTGTGTTGGAGCCCGCAGTCTGATCAGAAATTTGTTGTGTACATCCTTGCTTGTCTGTGGGGCCTATGTGATGCTATCTGGATGGTACAAAGCAGTGGTAAGCTAAATATACATGTACTTTAATCAAATTTAAAATATTTTTGTATCTATTGTTTTTTTTAGATGAGTGACTAATATAATATCTTTTATTTATTAGTCTTTTATGTGATTCTCATTAATAATTAAAAATCCGTAAGTAGGATTCTTGAGAGTAAATAGTGTCACCGTGTTTTTTTTCGTTTTGAGGCTTTCTTGTTTAAATTTACTTGTTTTTATTCTTTTTAATAAGTATAGAACAGTTTTACATTTCTCGAGAACTTTTGTAGCATTCAGTTCTAATGGGATCATTTTCACAGGATGGATGCTTTACAGTTTCGGTCACATTTGACATTTGCTTAAAATATACCCTTATAACACGCTGTACTTGAAAATTTTATCCTCGAATCTAAGATATTCATGTTATACATATATAAGTAGTAGATAGGTAGTTTTGTGGTTTGTAGGAAGATAAAAGAAAGCGAGATTTAATAATGTTATGTCTTCCTTGATCATCAAAATGTTTAGTCAATTACTCTTCTAAGCCTATTTTATTTTTATTCTTTTTCAGTTTTCTTTGGAATTATTTTCGCAGATAAAAGAGAAGAAGCATTTTCAACTTGTCGGTTCTATGAATCGATTGGATTTGTCATATCATATACTATGTCACCTTATCTACGGACTTCAGTGAAAACTTACATTCTATTGTTCATAATGATTGTAGGAGTAGGGCTCTATTTCATACTGGAATATAAGGAAAAAAAATCTATAACATTAGATCCTGCTGCAAAGTTGAATAGTCCGAATATGGAATTAGATTTCTGTGATCAGGGTACACAAAATAAAAGTACGTCGGACGGAGATACGGTGTTGTGAGACCTAGAAATAAGAATACACATATTAATATAATTACCACATTAAATTTCATATAAACTTCATTTATATTTTTTTTATTTCTTATGATCGCCTATGAACAAATAAGAGTTGTTTGTGGAATAAAGAAAGAGTTAACAAAATTCATAACTAATAAAGGTTGACATCGGATAGAGGTTAAAGGCCTGCCTCTTGTTAATAAAGGTACGGGTTCGAATCCTGGCAAGCATCAATGTGATTTTCCGAGTTATGCATACTTTCTATTAAGACACCACTGAAGCACGGTGAAGAAAAACATCGTGAGGAAACCTGGACTTATTATTTCAAATTATAAGCTTGTTAAAACCAATATTATAACCAATCCGCTTTAGGAAACGTGGTGATTAATTCTTAAACCTTCTCCATGTGAATTCTGACACGCTGGTGATGATGATGATGTTGAAAGTTTAACGATTTTTTTCTGTTGAATTATTTTATTTAATGCCAATCCGTCGTAATAAGTAAACGTGATTCATGTTAATATCAAAACTTTATAAAAAAAATTCAAGCTTACAAAGTTTAAATATACATATGTATCTATGTTCTAGAACACAACTGTTCATGTCACAAAAATTTACTGACAACCATAATTCTTGTATTAAGTGAGTTAGTTTTTACAACTTTTGCGAGGAATAAATACAATACACTGGATATACATATATTTCTGTTATATTTAATTTAACTTACAAATAAAGTTGAAACACGTTTTAAAATGAACAAGTTATTGAACTGTATGATATCAAAGATAATTTATTCTTAGTATTTAAAAAAAATTAAACGACGTCAAATAAATTGCGTAACAAGATAAAACATAGATATTAAAGTGTTATAAACACATAAAACGATAACTTAGTTTTTAAGATGCTAGAGCCTAGCTGTGGTCAAGTAACTGCAGCTCGAATAAGGGCTGGCACAACCGGGGAAGTACCACAGAAGATCGGCGTGAAGTAGTCATTATTGACCGCGTTTCGTCCGATGAGTGAGAGAGCCGGTTGCCCTTTTCCTGATCCCACCCTTTCCTGCCTTTCCTTTATACCCACCCATCCCTTTTCCTCAACGATCAAGGTTGGCAATGCATTCTCAACATCTATGTTGCAGATGTAGATCGGTGGCGGTCACTACTGCCTATTAAAAAGGGCGTTTGCTCGTTTGCTGCCTTTCTCATAAAAAAAAACTCTAAAACCAATGTCCAAAATATATTTATATTTCATTAATTTATCGAAGACCATAAAGATAATTGAAAATGATTTTAGTTTCTGCTGGCTTAACCCAAAAAAATGTCATTCAAATGAAATAAATAGAAGTGTTTCTATTCTAATTATATCGAAATCCTTCAGTATTTGTCTCTTTACCCCTTAAAATTCTTTTCTCTAAATAAAAGTACTTAACAATTTGAAATTTTCCACGAATTTTAGAAAAATGCTATAAATAATATTGATGAGCATTCAAAGAGGTTTTCATAAAAGGGAGAAACATCAAATATTGATAAATATAAATAGATAAAAACGTATCCTACTGCTTTTATCGTCAGGGCGTAGAGTCCACGATCTAAGTTTATTAACAATTGAAGACGGAAAATTTATTGACCAGCGTAACACCATTACATTTTGGCCACGTTTAGGATCTAAGACTGATAGTACAAATTACAGGCAGTCTGGGTGGAAACTTTCACAGAACCCGTATAAAGCCCTTGATTGTGTTTACTGGGTTCACCGATTGGTGGATATATCCAAAGACCGCCGCAGAAAGAGTATATCTCACCAAAAACATGTCTGTTAAAAAGGGGGCCAAGTTCCAATCGGCTAATTGTTTGCCTAAAAAAGGGTTGAAATCCAATCTAATGAAAAATTTAGATGCACTTTGAATTCGATCATAATCATCTTCATCAACAGCATGATCCACTGGTAAACATTTGCCATTCTCAAGACTCGCCACCACACCCAGTCCTCTGCCTTCCACTTCCAGCCACTACCCGCCACCTTATTCACGTCAACGGTCCATCTGGCCGAAATTCACTTTACCATACACCCAACTTAAAATATGGTATAGTTGTGAAAATACGTAGGTGCTTGGTTAGAAATATCTAAAATTATAATACTTCCAAATTTGAACTTGGCAGGTTTCCGTGCTGTACGTAACACTTAATTAATTGTATTTATTATTTATATAATTAAATTGACCTGCCAAGTTCAAATTTAGCAGTATTATGATTTTAGATATTTTTGGCATACTGCTTTAGTATTAGTATATGATTACGTAGGTACAATTTTATCTCTGTACTTGGAATAGGCACTGAGCTACAGGGGGGTCAAAAGTGGGTCGACCTTATTAAAAATTCGATATTTAGAATTGAGGCAACTTACGCTTGACCGATTTCTTAAATTTCTTAATTTTTTGTTAATCTACATATAACACACAACCTGTGTACCAAATTTCATAATGCTAAAACAATGGGAAGTGGCCTAGAGGTTTTGATTACCTGTCAGTGAGTCAGTGCCAAAATTAGCTATTTTCACAGGGTTATATTTCAGGATCTACTGAAGCTTTATCTATGATATTTGGCATACTGCTTTAGTACTAGTATATGATTACGTAGGTACAATTTTATCTCTATACTTGCAATAGGCACTGAGCTACAGGGGGGTCAAATGTGGGTAGAAAGGGTTCGTGTAAATAGTGCACGGCATGCGCGCGGCCTGTGGAACTTAGCCGGCGTACTACCGTGCGCTTAGATTAATGAATTGTTTTTGACTGCGAGAGGGAAACCTAAGGCGGCGTCGAAAACTGTTATTGGAGGCTGGATTAAGTCTTAACTCAAAGAAGCTGGTATTGACGCTTCTCCTGGATCTGTACGATCTACAATAGCTTCTCTTAACTGGATAGAATGTTTTCCAATAGATAAAATATTGGAAACTGGAAACTGGAGGCAAGAACATACCTTTAAAAGATACGAGTACTTTAAAAGAGTAATATTAAATCAGTCACAGGAAAATATAAAAAATTCATTGTCATGTTATTTTGATTCACCTGGTTCACCTCGAGTATGTATAATGAGCTAAAAAATATCAATTTGTTAAAATGTGCTAGTTTCCTCCTGCTAAATTGATATTAGAGGGCTGAAGTTGCACCGAAAGGTAGCGAAAACCTGACAAAAAAGGCTAAAGAGACAGGTGCTTGACTCAAGATGGATTCCGGATATCTTAAGGAAAATTATTAGGTAAGTTTTATTGGTAGTTAAAACGCTCTATTAATCAAATAAAAACAGGTTCTTTAATTATGATATAAAAACGATAACTACATTAAATTATTAGTCTAATTTATATCAACATAATAAAACAGGTGCCATAATCCTAATCGTTGTCCGCTTTCATATCGGTGCTAGACACGTCTAGTTCAGTATCTTTATGTTCAGGTCTATGTACCATGACATTCATTATAATTATATTATATCAGTTTTTACTATGCACCAAATAAAGTTAGTAATAATATTCACCAAACGTATAGTGTGTTGCTGAAATATAGTCTGAGTAACTTAAAATAAAAACGGAGTATCTACAGGTACTTGAAAAGTTTGGATATTAATCACACATCAGAAATACAATAGTACAATAAGGCCTCATTTGGAAAATACAAAGTAAGGAATTAATATTATATGTTTATATGATGTTTATTTCTCTTACTCATAATTGTCCTATCTATTTACTTTTTGCCTCAACAAAACTTATTTCTGAAAATAGTTTGAGAGGACTTTAAATCGATCTAGTAACATATACATAAATTAACTTATGATATTACAATATTTTATTTTGTTTTTTTTTTCAGAATATTTCAGGTTTATAAAATTCCTCGCATTGATCATCGTTTTGTTGGAAATGAAACTAACAGTTAGATGTTCTCAAGTTGAAGAACGATCAAAGACGACATATGATATTACTAGAAATGTTGTGGCGATAAGTCTAGCTTTTATGATCAGTTATATAGCCTATAACGTTAGTTTACATTGAAATCTATCTTAAATATAACTCTATAAAAATGATTGTCCATCGACTTAATATATTTGCAGGGTACAATAAACCTTCAGAGTTCAATCAATGCGGATGCTGGTTTAGGTACATTAGCTCTGAGCATCGCCGCTGCAGGATTTGTAGTGTCCAACATGTTTTTACCAGTTCTGCTTATTAAGTAATTAAATTGTAGTTTATTTAAGACTAATTCTATTAATTTTACTGTTACAAAACAAAATCTTTAATAACTACAGATGGATCGGCACCAAATGGACGATATGCGTATCCTTTCTAGCTTATACGCCATATTACGCTGCGCAGGTGTATCCAAATTTTTACACTTTCATACCAACAGCTGTGATTATGGGATTTGGCGGAGCATCACTCTGGTGTGCAAAGAGTGCTTATTTATGTACAGTGAGTCCTTATAAAAAATAAAATTAAAGACAAATTATATAACGAGTTCCGTTTGACGTCCGAAGTCCACTATGAGAGTACATCGCAGTCTTCGCCTCGCTTGGCCGTTAGACGTCGCTACTAATGATCGGTAACTGATTACCTACCACCCTAAAATTGTGCTTCGCCCGCAACACTTGCCAAGACTCCTAAACACCGAAGCCGACCGCCTGCCTCGAAACTGCGCGCCCGTCTAGTGGCCTATCAGAGACAAAGAAACTTCAAGGTTGTTAAGCTTGTAGGGCACACAAAGCTGATTTTGGATGGGACGATTTAATAGAGACATGGACACCACAAGAGACACAGTTATTGTCATTTTGCTGGAGGCAGTCTACCATAAAGACATATGCCCTAATTTGGAGTAGATGGGTACGATACGATACGGTACAAGGAAATAGCATTAATTTTCGTTTAACAAAGCCAGCAAATGTAGCAAGGTCGTCAGTCTACCTATTTTAACCCATGGTCTTTCCTACCGAACTATTCTTGTGCATAAACCAGTCATTGTATCTGTTTGAAAAACGATATCCGATATTAAGGTTTCTACAAATCCAATAGTAAGACACATACTCAAAGCTATTTCGTTGGCAAAACCTAAACCCCCTAAGCTGATTTTGATTTGAGATGCCAGGATATTGATTAGTTCTTTGAAAAGATACAATATAAATTTAAATAGTCAAGTATCCAGACATACAGAAGCTATATTATTATTATGATCTGGTCGTACAGTACATGACCTTCCTCTTTAGCATGTGGATGAACTTCACTTCGTAGATAATATAAATTCGATAACCTTGTATCCCGTTTTCGGTTCTAATACGGACTCTTCTCTCTTCGAAGTCCTAGTAATGTCTTCCTGGTGCTGTGTCTTTATGAGCCTAACAATGAAGAAATTGGTGGCTTGCATTTATAAGCTAGATGATTGGAAGTGACAGGAAGGATGGTCGGTAATAAAATACCGACCATTGGTAGCGACGTCTAGCGGCCAAGCCAGGCGAAGACTGCGATGTACTCTCATAATGGACTTCGGACGTCAAACGTACACATGAAAATAGTAACAATCTTTATATTCTTAGTCCATATTTCCATCGTTATAATACTTTTTCCATACACGTTTCAGGCATCCGAGAATCATAACAAAATATCAAACATCCCTTTAGATATTTTATTGTCCCGCTTCTTCGGAATCTTCTTTATGATCTACCAATTCAATCAGGTTTTGGGAAATCTTATTTCATCTTTAGGTGTGTTAATTGTAGTTTTTAATTGAACCGCTTTCATATTAATCTATATATATAATATATAGATTAGTCGTTAGTCTCAATAAAACTCGAGAACGGCTGAACGAATTTATCTTATCTTAGTCTTGAAATGTTAGTGGAGGTTCAGGAAAGGTTTAAAAGCTAAAAAAATTGATTCATTTTACGGGAAAATGCTAAAAACAGCCCTTTTCTTTTTCCCATACAAACATTTTTTTGACATTAGATTTGACAACTTATATGTCAATCTCTTCTGTCTGGCAATTTCCCAGCTTTAGCCAGGGTCTGCCTTGCGTGTTGTAATAAATACCAACACCTGGTTATTTAAGACGGCACAGAGTTCGCCCGGTCAACTATACATATATTACTTAGGACGAAATTAACGGGGATGAAGTCGCGGGCAAAAACTAGTCATAAATATTTTTTTCGACTTTAAAATTTTACTTTATTTGTAGCTGTGTCTTCATGCTCTTAATTTCTATCTTTATAGTTCTCTCATTAGGAGATAATGAGGCAGCAATTACAGCTATTAATGACTCCATTATACCAAAATTGTGTGGTGGTAACTTTTTCCCCAGCACAGACGCTGAAGAAGTATTGCTGGCGCAACCACAGGAAAGAATACTAATTCTTGCAGGTAGTTTTTGATTTGAAATGTAAACAAATAATGAAACCTATATGATTATAATATATGTATATTTTTTATCATTCAGGTTCAGTAAATACTTGAATTCCGCTAGTGTTGATATATTTTACATTCTATATAATAAATTTAAACTCAACCACTTGTAATAGTTATTTATATATATGACGCTAACACTTCTTGTATTTAATAGGTATATTCGTGGGTTGTACGATAGTTGCAGCCCTCATTCTTGCTATTGTTGTTGATCCTTTACAAAGGTAATAAGCTGTTATTCTTAAACTTGTATTGTTTTTTATTACTTTGCCATATTATTTCAATTATTTAAAAATCATTCTATAATAGTGTAAAAATCGTTAAAGCTATTATTTATTTATTGAATAAAATTTGCTCCTGAATTGACTTTGATAAAAAAAAATATAAATAATTAAACATTATTCTGGCATTAATTTCAGCAACCAAAATAACAAAAATACGTCAGTGAATGGTTCCGTAATAACAAAAACATTAAAGCACCTTGTCGATCCTTTTTTTTTTTTTTTTTTTTGTTGACGTAGTGGAAACTCTTTTTACGAGCCGTCCAACCGGCCTTGGTGGGGCCGGAAGGGATGTGTGAGGCTCGGCCTGGGCAGGCCCCTACTCACTAAAACCACTGCGAAAGCCATCGGCCGCTATGTCGGTGTACCCCGGATCTGTCAGCGACAGGGCACACCAGCGACTGGCCGGTCCTGGCAAAGACCGGACTTACTCCCTCAGAGCATGGGGGCGATCCCGGCAATTAGGACCACCCCGACGACGCCGGGCTTTCAAAAGGGCCGGGTTACCACGCCGACCCCAGCCCGGAACGCAGGGGTGCTATTGGAGGCGTAGGAATTGCCTCCGTCGCACCCCCGTACGTCGCCTGCGGGGGGAGGGAGCATCAGCCGCCCTCTCCCTTTCCCGCTGAGATGCCTCCTTCGTGGACATGACCGTCTCACAGAAGGAGGACACCGCCAACCAGGACCCATCACTCTCGAGCATCTTCTCCACGACACTCGAAAGCGACAGGTCCACTCCGCCGAGAGCCGCCACAAGGTCTTGGCGCTGCGCAGCCCATCTCGGGCACACCTCGAGGGTGTGCTGGGCCGAGTCCACCGCAGCGCCGCACTCATGGCAGCCTTCTCCCGGCTCTCTCCTGGCCGTCCGACACAGGTAGTAACCAAAGCACCCGTGCCCGGTTAAGACCTGCGTCAGACGGAAAGTGAGGGGTTTGCGTTTCCGCCTCATCCAACGCTCTAGGACCGGGCGAAGCGCTGCCGTTGTACGTCTACCGTACGGCTGCTCCGCCAGGTCCTCCCCCCACTCCCGCATAAGGCGTTCCTCCCCCTGCCGACGAACCGCTCGGATCTCCTCCGACGAAGGGTTCTCGCCGAGTGTCCTCCTACCCGAGACATAGGAGAACAACTCGGCTCGAACCGACGCCACGAGATCCCAAGGCGGATCGCCGGCAAGGGCAGTCGCTGCGGCCCAGGAGACCGTACGGTACCCCCTAATCACCCTCACCGCAGGAGCCCTTTGCGCAGAGCGCAGCAGGGCTTTGATCCTGCGGCTCATTGGGCGATCAGCCCAAACGGGAGCACCGTACAGGGCTATACTCCGACAGACCCCAGAGTATAGCCGCCTGCAAGCTGCGCTGGGTCCTCCGAGGTTCGGGAGGAATTTTCCCAGCGCACCTGCCGTCCTCACGACCTTCGGCCCCAGTTCCTTGAAATGAGGCACGAAGGTCCACCCTCCGTCAAGAGTGAGCCCCAGATATTTCATGGTGGGACTCACCCTGACCCTCCCTCCTCTTATGAGGAGGGTGGCACCCGGCGGGGGTCCTTTCCGCCCAGTCCCGCGGAAGAGGAGGGCTTCGGTCTTGTCTATTCTCACCCGAAGCCCCAACCTCTCTATGCGGCTGATCACGAGGTCAGTTCCGACCTCGGCCAGCCGCGCCGCCTCCCTGTAGTTTCGTCCCCGGGATAAGACGAGGGTGTCATCGGCGTAGCAGATGACACCCATCCCGGGGAGGAGACGACTCCGCAGGACCCAGTCGTATCCGACGTTCCACAGGACCGGTCCCAGGACCGACCCCTGTGGCACGCCGTTTTCGACTGTCCACCACTCTATGGACCCCCTCCGGCTCTCGACTGCCACCCTCCTCTGGGAGAGGTAGCTGTTTATCAGCCTCCTCAGATACAGGGGCACTCCGAAATACTCGAGTGCCACCTGTATCGCGCTGTGTGGGAGGCTGTTAAACGCGTTTGCGATGTCCAACGACACCGCAACCACTACCTCTCCTCTGCGTTCCGCCTCTTCCGTCACCGCCCTCAGGCGTTTGAGAGCATCGACGGTCGACCGATGGGCTCGGAACCCGAACTGGAACTCTGACAGTCCCGGGCCCGAGCCTTCCTCTAGATGCCGAACGAGACGGGTGGCCATTATTTTCTCCAGGGCCTTCCCCGCCTCGTTCAGCACAACCACCGGTCGCCACGCCGAAGCCGAGTCCGGAGGCCGGTTGCCTTTTGGAAGAAGGCAAAGCCGGCCTTCCTTCCAGGCCCTCGGGAACTGCCCGGACCTCAGACAGAGGTCGAACAGCTCCTTGAGGGCTCCACCGAGGTGCACCAGGGAGAGAGCGAGAACTCTCCCGTGCACCCCGTCCGGAACCTTGTCGATCCTAAGCAAATCATGTTGATTTTCTTTAACTTCTTCACAGGGATGGAACAAGCTTACTTTGCAGCTGATTTCACAGCGGTGAGATTGTGTATTATTATACATATTATAAAAATTGATTTTCATTCATTTGATTTCTTGAATCTTTTACATTTTAACCTTTCTATCGAAAAAATATTTTAAAGATATTGTAAGCCGTCTTCAATGGTATAATTTCTTCAATTAGGCTGTAGGGATATGGTTTAAAAATTGGTGGGGAGATAGGTTGGAATCAGGATACGGACACAGGCTATTCAGCATTAAATACGATCAAAAAAGGAAAAATAATAATAAATTCCAATATCTGACTGTTTGTGGCCTCTAGGGGGGAATAGAGTTTGCTCGGTCAGCTTTTACACATACATACATCTCATTCCGAAATTAACGCGGACGAAGTCGCAAGTAGAAACTTATATTTTATTTATTTTATTTTTATGTCAAAGATGGCAAACGAGCAGACGGCCTTCTTGATGGGCAGTAGTGACCTTCGCCCATGGACATCCGCAACAAGGATGCGGATACGTTACCAACTTTTTTTTTAGGACTACGGAAGGATAGGAATAAGGGAATATCAGGAAAAGATGGAAATAGAGTAAGGGCAACCGGCTCTCTCACTCATCGAACAAAACGCAGCCATTAAAGGCTACTTCATGCCGATCTTCTGTGAGAGGGTGGTACTTCCCCGGACGAGCCAGCCCATGTTCGAGCTGTAGTTACTTACCACAGCTTGGCTCTACCAACTCCAGAAAAACAAAAAAGTTATATCGAGTCAATTTTTTTTTCAGTCATTCGTGTCATGCGCAATAGGTGTTGGAATCGTGGGATTTGTTATGATGACTTACGGATTAGTTGACGCCATAGGGAGTGTTATGGTTGGACAATTGGCCAAGGTATTTTTTAAACAACTCTAAGATTATCGTTTCAGAACTAATGTAGCCAAATTACGAGTATTAACATAAAATTACGTCCTAGAAAGTCGGACGTATTCCTCTTATGCTTGCAGCCTTTGTAACACATTGTTTTGTACTTGTGTTTCTTTTGTGTTGGAGCCCGCAGTCTGATCAGAAATTTGTTGTGTACATCCTGGCGTGTCTGTGGGGCCTATGCGATGCTATCTGGATGGTACAAAGCAGTGGTAAGCTAAACATTCATCTACTTCAATCAAATTTAAAATATTTTAGTATCCATTGTTTATTTTTAGATGAGCTAGTAATATAATATATTTTTTATGTGATTCTCATTAATAATTAAAATTCCGTAAGTACGATTCGTGAGAGTAAATAGTGTCACTATGTTTTTTTTTTTCGTTTTGAGCCTTTTCATATCAATTTACTTGTTTTTGTTCTTTTTAATAAGTATAGAACAGTTTTACATTTCTCAAGAACTTTTGTAGCATTGTTCTAATGGGGTCTTTTGCTAGTAGTATCTTTGGTTTTGCCTAACCTGGACTTCACATTTCAATAACTTATAAGATATTTAACAAACTGTAACACAAAATTAGTTTTTCACAGGATGGGTACTTTACAATTTCAGTCACATTTGACATTCGCTTAAAATATACCCTTATCATATATTTAAAAAACCTGTTGTCTGGAACAATTTTTATCAATTAAAATTATTAAAACATCACGCTGTACTTGGAAATTCTATCCTCGAATCTAAGATTTTCATGTTATATATAAGTAGTAGATAGATAGTTTCGTAGTTTGTAGGAAGATAAAAGAAAACGAGATTTAATAATGTTATGTCTTTCTGAATCATAAAAATGTTTAGTCAATTACTCTTCTAAGCCTGTTTTAATGTTTTATTTTTATTCTTTTCAGTTTTCTTCGGAATTATTTTCGCAGATAGAAAAGAGGCAGCATTTTCAACTATTCGGTTCTATGAATCAATTGGATTTGTCATATCATATACTATGTCACCTTATCTACGTACTACAGTGAAAACTTACATTTTATTGTTTATAATGGTTGTAGGAGTGGTGCTCTATTTAATACTGGAATATAAGGAAAAAAAATCAATAACAATAGATCCTACTCCAAAGTTGAATAATCCGAATATAGAATTAGATTTCTGTGATCAGGGTACACAAAATAAAAAGCCGAAAAGGAGTATGTCGGACACAGATACGGTGTTGTGAGACCTAGAAGTAAGAATTCACATATTAATACAAGTGCCACATTAAATTTCATATAAACTCCATTCATATTTTTTTTATTTCTTATGATCGCCTATGAACAAAAAAGAGTTGTTTGTGGAATAAAGAAAGTGTTAAAGAAATTCATAACCAATAAAGTTTGACATCAGCTAAAGTTTAAAGGCCCTCCTCGCGGGCATGAGGGTACGGGTTCGAAACCTGGCAAGTATCAATGTGGTTTTTCCGAGTCATGCATACTTTCTGTTTAGACACCACTGAGTCACGGTTAAGAAAAACATCGTGAGGAAACCTGGACTTATTATTTCAAATTATAAGCTTGTTAAAACCAATATTATAATCAATCCGCTTTAGCAAACGTGGTGACTAATTCTTAAACCCTCTCCATGTGAGTACAGGCTGGTGATGATGATGTTGAAAGTTTAACGATTTGTTTCTGTTGAACTATTTTATTTAATGCCCATCCGTCGTAATAAGTAAACGTGATTCATGTTAATATTAAAACTTTATAAAAAATATATTCTCAAGCTTACAAAGTTTAAATATACATACGTCTCTATGTTCTACAACAGAACTATTCATGTCACAAAAATTTACTGGCAATCATAATTCTTGTATTAAGCGAGTTACTTTTTACAATTTTTGCGAAGAATAAATACACTACATACACTCGGTTGTGTTAAATTTTATTAATTTTTTGTTATATTTAATTTAACTTACAAATAAAGTTGAAACATGTTTTAAAATGAACAAGTTATTGAACTGCATGATATGAAAGATAATTTATTCTTAGTATTTAAAAAAATTTAAACAACGTCATACGTCAAATACATTAGGTAGCAAGATAAAACATACATATTAAAGTTTTATAAACACATAAAACAATAACTTAGTTTTTAAGGTGGTAGAGCCTAGCTGTGGTCAAGTTACTGCAGCTCGTACATGGGCTAGCTCAACCGGGGAAGTACCACAGTACCTCTAATAGAAGATCGGCGTGAAATTGTCATTAATGACTTAATTAATGATTGTGGATTGTCAAAAAAACAGAGAAATTTATTTGTATTAACTTTAGACAACACTTCTTAGACGCTTGTTTACGTCATCATAACAGAACATTTAACTCAGTTTTTCCACACTATGCGTATTAATATATTGTAAAACGTTGTTTCAGTAACAGTATCGAAATAAAATATTCAAAGTAAACCAAGATAAACCACAAGATCATCCACAACAGAAAGCTACACTAAAATTATAAAATGACACAAAAAAAGAAAAAATACAGTTCGTAAATAATAATGATTCAAAGATAGTCATTATAAGAAATACAATTCCAATTACAATTAAATGAGATAAATAATTATAAATTGGTTAGTTATCAATGTTATATGCTAGTTACCATACTGCATAATTTAGTATAATGTGGCATTTATGTTTATTATTTGCAGCACTATGTACATATATATCAATGAATTAGAAGATTATATAATCAAGAATTTGCAACGAATTTGGTAATAACAAATATCATATTTTCCTCAATTTTATTATCAATTGAATTTTAATCAGCTCAACAACGTAGGGTGTTTTTTTGTGTTTATTTTATATAAAAGCGATTTTCTCCGTCATAATGTGGTCTCAGGGAAGTCGTGTAATACATATTCCGATATGGGCTATCAGGACTGTACTTACACTAATGGGTCACTTCTTGTTAAATTGCTACGCCCGGCTGGAGTGGACTTGTTTGATATCGGGATAATCTCTCTCTATCAAGCCTATCTAGCCAACTATCATCTTCTACCGTATGAGAAGCCTAACCCATTTCGAGATAGAGCAAACTTAGCGGAACAGTTGCGCCCTCCTTTTCCGAATCAACATAATGATTTACAGTCAGAAGGCTAACTGGCCTCAATGTTTAAAGAACTGTATTGCAGCCAATGGAGATTACTTCGAATAAACTTCATTTATATTTTAGAATTTTTAAGCAGTATATACTTAATCAAATAAAAACAGGTTCTTTAATTATGACATAAAAACGATAAGTACATTACATTATTCTTTTAATTTATATGAAAATAATGAAACAAGTGGCATACTTCTAATTGTCGTCAGCATTCATATCGTTGTTAGCTCACATATATGTAGTTTTTACTACTAGTACATATTTACACTGGTATGGTATGGTAGTGAAGTTGAAAAAGTGTTTGTATTTGGTGAAGTGTATCTGTATATTCAGGTGTAGGTCTATGGACTATAACATTCCTTATATATTATTTCTGTATTACTCCGCTCCTATGAAGGGATAGTGTGTTGCTGTAATGTAGTGTTAGATGGGCAAAATAAAGACCCATTATCTGCAGGTACTCAAAAAATTGGATATTAACCACATTTACAGTAGTTATACCATATTACAATTAGGACTCATTTTGAAAATAAGAGATATGAACTGAGGAGTGAATACTATATATATATATACAGGGTGACTGGTGAATTACTATCGATATTTGAGGACGTGATATTTGACGATCATATATGACAAAATAAAAATTAATGTAACATAAATATTAATAAACTTCTAAGTAAAGTTAACCAAAAGTTATGTAATTAATTACGCATCGTATGAACACCCTACAGATTAGGTATACACACACACTCACACAGACGCGGCGGCGGCGTAGTGTTGTATCAGCACGCCGCCGCACGCGTCCACACTTGCAACACTTGGAACGTGTCAACACTTTATTTATTTATACGGAAATTTTGTCAAAAATTAAGTGCCTATTTTTTTTACATAATTCGAATGAGAATCATGTACCGAGTATGCTCCTTAAATATTGATAGTAATTCACCAGTCACCCTGTATATATATATATATATATATATATATATATATATATATATACAACGTGTAACATAATTAACGCACACCCTGAAAGTAGTTTGATCAGAATCGGATACTGGATCGATTTTGATAGTTTTTTATGTAGGTCATTTTTTTTCTCAAATTTAGATAGAACTAAGTAAATTATAGTCACCCTACACACAGTTATCTAAACACTTCATAGAAACGAAAATTAATGGAAACGAAAATGGATCGTAAGTCAGGGTATTAAGATTTTTAAAATGAAATATTAAATTAGTAATCATCATTCAATTAAAAAAAACTGATACTTATTTCAAGGCTAAAATAGTATTTAAAAATAACTAAGCACGCAACACCATAGCGACAACCGGCACACAGCAAGGTCACTACAGTGCATAAAAGAAAGCCGCGTAATACAAAAATTATTACTTTCTCCTTCTTTCTTCGGCTTAATAACATTACAATAGAGCGAGACGGCAGGCTTATCCCGGGAATCAGAGTAATAATAACTAAACATCGAAGTCAACAAAATTTGTTTTGGGTAAGTTAGTCACGCCGCGTCCACCTTATCGAAAAGAGGTCAAGTGTAAAGTGCAAATAAAATCTTAGTCGCGCATTTCGCTGTGTCGTTTCGGTACACTAACATTCAATACATCAAATACCTACGCACGTGTCCATTGACCTCCTAGATCAGCTGATTTGACGCGACTCGACTTTTTTTTGTGTGGGGGCGAATTAAATCGCTAGTTTATAACACAGAGATAACAAGTGCCGAGGAACTAAAAAATAAGATAATAACCGCCTTTGTAAAAGTGAAAAGTGACATTGCAGTATTATCTAAAATAAAACCACAATTGCGAAAACGGTCATTAAAGTGCATTGAACAAGGCGGTGGACATTTTGAAAATATTTTAAAACGACAACGCCGTGCGAGTGCAAATTAAACTGTAAGTTTGTTTATGATCTTTAAATTATTGTTAATATTTTGATACACAACATTTAAACCGGCCGACTGTGTTTGACTTTGTCGTAGGTATTGTGGTGTCTAATCAAATCACACGTTATCAGCTGTTTAATAATTCTTATTTACAAATTTAATTTAACAAATCAGTAATTATAAAATATTGGCTTCACATTAAAAAGAAAATTCAATGTCAACAATCTAAAGCTTGAAAAGTGTGATGGAAAGAAAAATCATGATGTATGTAGTTATTTCGTGTACTTATTATTACCTACTTCTTATTATTGTGGGACGGCACTCGGAGAGAGAGGCGCGGGCGCGGCGAGTACATGAATAGCTGACCATATTATTTGCACGAAATTGGGATAACTAATTTCACAAATAAAAGTATGTAAGTAAGTAAGTAAGTAAGTAAGTAAGTAAGTAAGTAAGTAAGTTTGGTGTATGCATTGCGTTTATATTATTATATTCACATTGGAGTATTTGAGGGTGTGCGTTAATTACGTTACACGTTGTATATATATTACTATGTATCAATATTTAAGGAGAATACTCGGTACATGATTCTCATTCGAATTATGTACAAAAAATAGGTACTTAATTATTGACCAAATTTCCGTATAAATAAATAAAGTGTGGACACTTTCCCAGTGGTCCAAGTGTGGACGCGTGCGGTGGCGTGCTGATACAAAACCACGCCGCCGCACGCGTATGTGTGAGTGTGGGTGTATACCTAATCTGTAGGGTGTTCACACGATGCGTAATTAATTACATAACTTTTGGTTAACTTTACTTAGAAGTTTATTAATATTTATGTTATATTAATTTTTATTTTGTCATATATGATCGTCAAATATCACGTCCTCAAGTATCAATAGTAATTCACCAGTCACCCTGTATATATATATTAACACTATTCACGATGCAGAACTTCTGCAACGCGATTTAAATTCAGTACAACAGTGGTGCAATAACAATAAAATGATACTCAATGCAAACAAATGTCAATATATCAGATTCACTAAAAACAGAAACATAATTTCATATAACTACACTATTAACAATAAAGAATTAGCGGAAGTTGCAGAGGTCCGAGACTTGGGCGTAGTTATTGACAAAAAATTACAGTTAAGTAATCATATCAACAAAATTATAGAAAAATCCTTGAAACTCGTTGGTTTTATTAAAAGAACATGTCACGACCTTAAAAATATTCAAGCTATTATAACGTTGTATCGTTCCCTAATTCGTAGTGTTTTAGAATATGCATCACCAGTTTGGAGCCCAAGTTACAAAATTTATAAAAGTCGTCTTGAAAAAATTCAACGGGGTTTTACAAGATTTTTAGCATATAAAGACAGGCGCTGTCCATATCAAGCAGGCTATGTAACACGTTTAAAATATTTCAAGCTAGATACATTGGAGAAACGACGGTCTCTGAAAGACTTAATGTTTTTACATAAGGTCATTCACAACTCAATAGACTCTTCAAACCTACTTTCCTAAATAAATTTATATGTTCCGAAAACCATTCCTCGATATCCAATTAAAAGCACCTTCGCCATTCCCAGATTTCACACAAATGTCGGAAAATTTTCGCCTTTAATTCGCTGTATGAGGACCTACCCATGTCGTCGACATACAGCCAAAGTAATGATAGTTTAAAAAAAATAATAAATACTGTTTTAGTTAATAATTGATATTTAAATGTTTGTTATCTTATTTTGTTTGTTTTAGTTAGTAATTGATACTTAAACGTTTGTTATCTCATTGTATTCAGATTCTTAAATGTCTTAGTGTAGTGTTTACCTTACCTTTAGTTAGTTTTGTTATCATGTAAGTAATAATGTAAATACCTGTAATGGTGTATCACACTGAACAAGTTTACTTTTTTATATTTTTTTTCCACATATGGCTTGTGAATAAGCCGATGGTATTTCCAAAATAAATAAATAAATCTTCTATATATATAAAAATGGATTGCTGTTCCTTAGTCTCGCTAAAACTCGAGAACAGCTGAACGGATTTATCTTATCTTAGTCTTGAAATGTTCGTGGAGGTTCAGGGAAGGTATAAAAGCTGAAAAAAATTTATTCATTACTGGGAAAACCATAAAAACAGCCCTTTTCTATTTCCCATACAAACATTTTTTTTGACATTAGATTTGACAACTAACTAATATGTCAATCAATCTGTCGCACTTCAAAACACGGAGATTTATGGCTTACAGATAAACTCCAAAAATATAAATAAAAAAACGTGATAGATATTTCTTGATTATAGGGCGATACGAAGTTCGCCAGGTCTTCAAGTATGTTTATATAAATCTTATTTCTCTTACTAATTGTACTAGCGTTTTTACTTTTTGGCTGTAAGAAAAATCATTTCTGACGATCATCTTAGAGGACTTTAAGTCATTATAATTAAACTGTATATACTAAACTGAAATACTAAAGTAAACCAAAATATTATTACAATGATATGTTTTGCATAACTTTTTTTTTCAGAGCACACAAGGATTATTAAATTACTCGCAGTGATCATTGTCTTCTTGGAAATGAAGATAACAATTAGAAGTTCTCGAGTTGAAGACCGTCCAAAGACGACATATGAAATTACGAAAAATGTTGTGGCGATAAGTCTAGCTTTTATGATAAGTTCTACAGCCTATAGCGTTAGTTTATTTTGAAATGTATCTTAAACATTACTCTTTTAGAGTAATCACATAACGACTTAATATATTTGCAGGGTACAATAAACCTTCAGAGTTCAATCAATGCGGATGCTGGTTTAGGTACATTAGCTCTGGGCATCTCCTGTGCAGGATTTGTAGTGTCAAACATGTTTTTACCAGTTCTGCTTATTAAGTAATTTAATTGTAGTTTATTTAAGACTGATTCTATTAATGTTACTGTTACAATACAAAATCTTTAATAACTGCAGATGGATCGGCACCAAATGGACGATATGTGTATCCTTTCTAGCTTATACGCCATATTACGCTGCGCAGGTGTATCCAAATTTTTATACTCTCATACCGACAGCTTGGATAATGGGATTTGGCGGAGCGTCGCTCTGGTGTGCAAAGAGTGCTTATCTATGTGCAGTGAGTTCTTTATAAATAATAAAATTTTAAACAAATAATAATTAATCAGTACGAAAACATGGACATAGTGTCGATTTCTATATTATTCGTCCTTTTCATCGTGTCAATTCATACGAAGATTTAATAGTTTTTCGCTCATAAACTATTGAACACTATTGTATTAAAATAGATTTTTGATTGAGAAACGCCCACGCCTTCGTATAGACTATGACGATGTAAACTTAACAATCTAAGACTAAGCATAGAGTAATTTTTTCAATACACATTTCAGGCATCCGAGGATCATAAAAATATATCAAACATCGCTTTGGATATTCTATTGTCCCGCTTTTTCGGAATCTTCTTTATGATCTACCAATTAAATCAGGTTTTGGGAAACCTTATTTCATCTTTAGGTCGGTTAGTTTTAGATTTTAATGGCTTTTCTATTAAACATTTTTTTCTTCTTCTTTTAAGTTATTTTTAGCTACATATTCATGCTCCTCATGCCTTTTTTACAGTTCTCTCATTAGGAGATAACGAGGCAGCAATTACAGCTGTAAATGATTCCATCATACCAATATTGTGTGGTGCTAACTATTTTCCAAGCACAGATGCAGAAAAAGCGTTACAGGAACAACCAAAGGAAAGAATACAAATTCTTGCAGGTAGTTTTTGATTTGAGATGTAAACAAATAATGAAACCTATATGATTATAATATATGTATATTTTTTATCATTCAGGTTTAGTAAATACTTGAATTCCGCTAGTGTTGATATATTTTACATTCTATATAATAAATTTAAATTCTACCACTTGTAATAGTTATTTATACGAGTATATATAACGCTAACACTTCTTGTATTTAATAGGTATATTCGTGGGTTGTACGATAGTTGCAGCCCTCATTCTTGCTATTGTTGTTGATCCTATACAAAGGTAAAAAGCTGTTAACTAAGTATTGTTTAGATCACTTTTTCAGATTCTTTCAATTATTTAAGAAAAATTCTATAATAAAGTAAAAATCGTAAAGAAAATATATTTGAAGGAAAGTTATTGAAGGAAAAATTAAATTGTTCGTGAATTGACTTAGATAACAAAAATATTTTTTTGAATAAATACTCTTCTGACATTAGTTTCAGAAACCAAAATAACCAAAATACGTCAGTGAAAGGTTCCGTAGTATTAAAAACATTGAAGCACCTTGTCGATCCTAAGCAAATCATGTTGATTTTCTTTAACATCTTCACAGGGATGGAACAAGCTTACTTTGCAGCTGATTTCACAGCGGTGAGATTACGTATTATTGTACTATAAAAATTGATTTTAATTCATATCATTTCTCGTATCTATTACATTTTAACCTTTCTATCGAAAAAATACTTTTAATAGATATTGTGAGCCGTTTTCAATGGTATCATTTCTTCAATTAGGCTGTAGGGATATGGTTTAGAAATTGGTGGAGAGATAGATTGGAACCAGGAGACTGAAATAGGATATTTGATGCTCTTCGATCGAAAAAGGAAAAAACACTTAATAAATTCCAATATTTGTTTGTTTGTGGCCTCTAGGGCGGAATACAGTTTGTCCCGTCAACTATATACATATATCTAATTTGGAAATTAACGCGGACAAAGTCGCGGGTAAAAACTAGTAACTAGTATAACAATAAAGTTAAATGGAGACAAAATATTTTTCAGTCATTCGTGTCATGCTCAATAGGTATTGGAATCGTGGGATTTGTTATGATGACTTACGGATTAGTCGACGCCATAGGAAGTGTTATGGTTGGACAATTGGCCAAGGTATTATTTTAAACAACTATGAGATTTTCATTTCAGAACTAATGTAGCCAAATTATTAACATAAAATTACGTCCTAGAATGTCGGACGTATCCCTCTTATGCTTGCAGCCTTTGTAACACATTGTTTTGTACTTGTGTTCCTTTTGTGTTGGAGCCCACAGTCTGATCAGAAATTTGTTGTGTACATCCTTGCGTGTCTGTGGGGCCTGTGCGATTCAGTCTGGATGGTACAAAGCAGTGGTAGGCTAAACATTTTATTTGCTTCTTAAAATAGAACTTTTTTAAAATGAGAACCTAAAATTTTCAGTACCCATTGCTGTTGTTGATTAATCAGTTATATAGGAAACTTTTTATGTAATTCTCATTAAGATAAAAAAAGCGAGATTTAATAATGTTATGATTTTCTTAATCATAAAAATGTTTAATCAGTTTCTCTTTTAAGCCTGTTTTGATATTTTATTTTAATTATTTTCAGTTTTCTTCGGAATTATTTTCGCAGATAGAAAAGAGGCAGCATTTTCAAGTATTCGGTTCTATGAATCAATTGGATTTGTCATTGCATATATTATGTCACCTTATCTACGTACTTCAGTGAAAACTTACGTCCTATTGTTAACAATGATTGTAGGAGTCTTGCTCTATTTTATACTGGAATATAAAGAGAAAAAAAACATTACAATAGCTCCTACGCCTCAGGTTAATAGTTCTAATATGGAATTAGATTTCTGTGATCGGGGTACACAAAATAAAAAGACGAAAAGGAGTATGTCGGACGGAGATACGGTGTTGTGAGACCTAGAAATAAGAATACAATTGCCACATTAAATTTCATATAGACTCCTTTCATATTTTTTTTTATTTCGTATGACCGTCTACCAACCTATAAAACGTATTAATTGTAGAATAGAGAAATATTTAAAGAAATTCATAATGACTTGTTTGACGTGCCGGTTCAAAAAATGGCAAGTGCCAATGTGATTTTTCCGAGTCCTACATACTTTTTAAGAGTGCTTAGACACCACTGACAGACAGTGAAGGAGTACATCGTGATGAAACCTGGACTTCAACCTGGACCGGACCTGGACTAATTAATTTCAAATCAAAAGTTGGAAATCGCCAGTCCGCTTTGAGCAAGCGTGGTAATTATTTCCATATGAGAAGAGATATTTGCTCAGCAGTGGGCTCCGATAGGCTAATGATGATTATAATGAAGAAAGTTTGAGGATTTGCTTTTTTTGAATTATTTACCTTCACGAAAATACTTTGTAATAAGTAAACGTGATTATTGTTAATATTAGACTATTATAAAAAGTCCTCAATCTTACTAAGTGTGTACGTATCTATGGTCTACAACAGAACAATGTGTGTCACAAAAATATACTTACAATCACAATTCCTGTAATAAGCGAGTTAGTTTTAACGCCTTTTCGAATAAATGAATAAAAAATGAACAAATATAATGAATACACCTAGTTCGATGAAAATAATTACTTTATTGTTATATTTAAGTCTACTTACAAATAAACTTTAAACATTTTAAATTCAACAAGTTACTAAACGACGTGCTATGGAGTATAATTTACGAGTATTCTTAGAATCTTCTTCTTCTACCTGGCAATTTCCCAGATGTAGCCAGGGTCTGCCTTACATGTTGTGAAGAGTTTTTGGCTATTTGTTTTTACGACCGGCCGCCTGCCTGACATCAACCCTCTTTTGGGAATCAACATTAATCAGTGATGTCTAAATACTCTTAGAAAGTACATATGATTCGGAAAAATCACATTGGTACTTGCCTCGGCGATGAGAGGCGGGCCCTTTAACCACTGAGCCACCACTGACTACGAGTATTCTTAGAATGTTACCAGAAATAGAAACAATGTTGGTAGTAATTATTTGTAATGTTTTTATACATCAAATAAACTATGTATCAGGATAAAATATATGTAGATATTAAGGAGTTTTGAACACGTAAAACGATAATTTAGTTTAAACTTCAAAAACAAAATTCAAGATACTTTCAATACCCTTCCTTTATATTATTGTGTGTATTTTATACTTTATTAGTAATTAAATAATTTATACAAGACCAAACAAACATTGATTAGAAGATTAAGAAGATCCCATTTCATTTTGTTTATTATTCATAGACTTTAATTTCTGCCGGATTTATCCAAAAACAAATTCATTAAAATGAAATATATAGAAGTGTTTTATTTTATTTTTAACAAAATCCTTTAGTATTGTTCTCAAAACCCTGAATTTTTTTTTCAATACAGAACTGTTAATAATGTTATTTTTTTCAATAATTTAAAAAAGATGTTTTCTTGAGGGTGAAACATGAAATATTGTTAAATTATGAATATATGAAAACGCACATATTAAAATCATAAATAAGAAAATATATATTTCATTTGGTCATGGTCTTACTCAACTTTTATCTTTAAACTCCAATGTCAAAAGAGTTACGTGGGTTTGACGTCAATATGTGTGTGTGTGCGCGTGTGTGTGTGTGTGTGTATGTATGTGTGTGCGTTCGTGCGTGCGTATGTAGGTAGCAGTATGTTTTTGTGAATTAATAAATTAAAACTCTATTTCTTTCCACATTCTTTTAGATATTATTTGATTAATTTAAGTTGTTATATAAAATTAAATTGAAACAATTGTTTACATAATATAAGACAAAATTTTAATATTCATGCTGACTATGCTGTCTATCTGTTGAGGTGTTAAATTGTATACAATGTTAAATTGTATAAAAAAATTCTACCAGAATTAGTTGTCATGTCAAAAATTTAAACAAATCCAGAAAGTTAATTAGATAATGTAGCTCTAGATTTGAAGCATTTAATAATACTTAATGGAAAAACTGTAGCAATAACATAAAATTTTGAAACTATTTTTTCTATCATCATCATATTTCGTCATCGAATGTGTTTGTTACAGTAGCGTAATTTATAAATATCTAAAATGAACGGTGGTAGAGAATATTTTTCTTATTGGTAATAGTTATTTTTTTTATTTCGTAATAACAATTGCATACATTGCACATCTTATCAATAAGCGTTATTTACTTAGAATATTCGAATGCTTTATTATCAAAATCAATTGTTTTCTCTTGAGGTTCTGGTGTTTTGATCGATGTATTGGCTTTCCTTTCTCTGAATTCCACTATAATGTATAGCACCACTCCCACTAACATAGTTACCATTAAGATATAAGTCTTTACACCAGTTCTCAGGTGCGGAGAAATGATGTACGCGATAATATAACCTGATGACTCACAGAGTCTTACGTTGGAAAACGCCGCTTCTTCTCGGCCTTTAAAAACTATTCCATAAAACGCTAAAAAACAAAATATCTTGCTAAGAAAATATGTATTACACAATGTTAAATCTTTCTCTGTACCTTACCGCTTATTTGCACAGCCCAAATAGAATCGCAGAATCCCCACAAACTTGCAATGACATACATGACTGCTGGTTGATTTGGTTGCAGGTTAAATGTGAGAAGCGTCACCATTAATGAACCATGGATAATAAAAGCTGCTATTATAAGCGGCAAACGTCCTACCGTCTGAAAAGTGATTAATATAATTTATTAAGTTTTATTGTATTGTAAAAAAAACTTATAAGTATCTTTTTAAAATTATGCTTCATAAAAATAGTCATAGTAATACCTTAGCCATTTGCTCCATAACAACACACCCTGAGGCGTTGGCAAAGCCGAAACTCATCATAACAAATCCAACAGTTCCAACACCAACAGAACAAGAGACATATGCCTATAAAATAAATCTCATTACTGTTACAAAATTTACATATATGTACTAAGTTTGATTACAGTTAGTTGGTAGAAAATAAAGATTTTTATATAAAATTGTTAAAACAACATCATGGTAAAATAAATCATGTGTAGAGTGATTTTCTATTTGTAGAAATGGTAATGAATTAAAAGTCTATATACAAAATAAATAATATATACAGGGTGACTGGTGAAATACTATCAATATTTAAGGAGAATACTCGGTACATGATTCTCATTCGAATTATGTAAAAAAAATAGGTACTTAATTTTTGACCAAATTTCCGTATAAATAAATAAAGTGAGGACACGTTCCAAGTGTTCCAAGCGTGCGGCGGCGTGCTGATACAACACCACGCCGCCGCACGCGTATCTGTGTGTATAGTGTATACCTAAACTGTAGGGTGTTCGCACGATGCGTAATTAATTACATAACTTTTGGTTTACTTTACTTAGAAGTTTATTAATATTTATGTTATATTAATATTTATTTTGTCATATGTGATCGTCACATATCACGTCCTCAAGTATCGATAGTAATTCACCAGTCACCCTGTATATTCAAAGAACACTTACGGCAGTAAAATCGGCCCCGAAGAAAGCCTGTTGCATGCCAACAAAAACATTAATACTGGCCAACATAAGGTGCTTAGGCTCTATGAATAGTTTAAGTGTTGTAGCCAGCAGATGTATTCCAGACTTATTAGCATTATTCTGATCTTTTTTATTACTGCATCATAAAAAAGTATAAAATTTAAATCTTTTAACTGTTTTTATAACGCTGATTATTCTTAGAAGATTTGCCATAATACAAACCTCTTAATGGAGTCTACACCAACAGCAACTAAAAGGGATGCAGCGACTGTACACCCCAAATATATGCCTGTACACAATTTAGAAATTTATAATTTATATAAAAAAATAATCATTAAAAATTAAAATGTGTAGTTAAACTGTCAGCCAAATGAGATTTTATTTAAAAACAGTAATCGTAACAAAACATTCAAAATATTAATAATAATAATATTTCTTGAAATGAAATTAAAGAACGGGGAAAACTATAAATAAAATAAAAAAAGCATTAGGTGTTAACATTCAAATTCTCATAAAATATGAGCAACATATTTTTAAACCTTGTGACGCCTAACTTTCAACACTTTTATAATTTCCTGAGAATGATTACCAATAACCCATTATAAGTTGTTTGGCTTGTTAAATGTTTGAACATTTTAGGCATTTTAAGGTAGCAGCTCATGATATTTGCGTTTAGAGGAACAAAATCGCCGTCCATAGATCCTTCTATGTCATAAATGCTCAGCACTCACTCTTAACAGTTTTTTCTTGTACCATTCCCTACCCTTAGTTAGCAAATTACCTTTTCTATATGGCTAATAGGATGAGACTTCTGAATAATGACGATGTAGCAAGTCACAGTACATTCCTTCCTTTAACTCAGTGCTTTATAACTTTATAAATAAAATTATTTATGACTATAAACAATTTCACCTGAAATCATTCGAATCTTCTCTGGAGGTTGTCGCTGTAATGCTTCATCAGCGTGTGCACTTGGCATAAAGTTAGCACCACAAAGTTGAACTATCATGGAGTCATTTATAGGCGTCACAGCTGCTAAATTATCACCCGATGATAAAACTGCAATAGAATAAAATTAATTCAATACTTTGTTTATTAAGTTACAAAAAACATAAATAATTACACAGTCCTCAGTAAAACAAACAAACCTAACGATGAAATAAGATTTCCCCAAACTTGATTCAGTTGATAGATCATAAAAAATATTCCAAAGAAACGCACTAATAAAACCTCTAAGCGTAGATTCGATGTCTTCGTATTAGCTTCTGCTGCCTGAAAAGTATTTGAACTTTATTTAAAAGGCTGAACTTCAAGTTAAGGTTAGAAAACCGTTTTTAAAGAAATGGAACTTTAATTACTGCAGATAAATAAGTGCTCTTTGCACACCAAAGAGGTGCTCCACCTATTCCCATTATGAAAGCCGCTGGAATTAAAGTATAAAAACTAGGGTACATCTGTGCAGCAAAGTAAGGTAGGTAAGCTAGGAATGACAAGGATATTGTCCATTTAGTTCCGAGCCATCTGAAAGGAAACAACATCTTTAATGCCTTAATCACGGAGTAATACTAAAACTTATGATATTTCAAATTACTTGATGACTATAATTGGTAGGAACATATTAGAAATAATAAATCCTGCACAAACAACTGCTAGTGACGTTGTTCCCAAACCGGCTTCCGCATTAATAGAACTTTGAAGATTCGCTGTACCCTGAAATTTACACAAATATAAGTGTTCAAAAAATCGCAATTCTTACTATAAGATACAAATTATTTAAATAGATTTATACGTAATACTAACATTATATGCAGTGAAATGAATCATAAACGCCAGGCTCATCACAACAGCATTTTTTAAAATTTTCCATGATGTCTTAGGGCTTACAACAGGATCTTCCATTCTTGATCAGTAGGATAACCCCAACTGGACAAAAAACCTCGTCATATTTTTTTAAATAATTATTCTCTCAAATCCCAGTATATATAAATAAACCTTTGACACAACAGGTATGTTCTCTCGGAGGTTAATCAAATAAGTTTGTGTGATAAATTTAACAATATTAATATAAATTTTTAGTATCTGATAACATTTTTATATGTACGTAAGACATAAGACTCCCTTTCATAAGGTTTTAATCACTGTATGCTGACAAGAGGCTTGGCCACGAGCAAATACTATTGTAATGAAGATAGAAGGAAAATAAATATTATGGATCTTATTTCTTATAGTTTTAGACGGTCACTTACAATACATATTAAAACTTAAGAAAAATTTCAAGTAGTTTTATTTCAATATAACAAATTTTGTATATTGACATAATATTAAAGAGATCACTCAGTTTACATACTAATTAGAAATATTAAGCTTATTTCAAATAAACTTAATTTTAAATTTTTTGTATTATTAAAATTGAATAATAAATTCTGTAACTTTTCGGTTTATAATATGCAGCCATCTAGATGCTTTCATACATCCTGACAAATAATAAAATGACCTTTTTAGTAATATTCTTAATAAAGGCTCTGTTACAGTATATAAATAAAACCTTGTCTCTTACTTTAAATACATTCAGTAGTTATAACAATATAGTTACGCTTACGAAAATAAGAAAGATCAACTAATTAATATATTACAGAATATTTCTTCCATAACACGATCCTCTACTAGCTGAGTTAACAATGTTTTAGTCGAATATGAACTCTTTTTTAATTGAAATACTAAAGAACACCGTTGTTATAGTTTTAACTAAAGAGATAACAATCATTTTGTAGCTCAATCATCAAGGCTTAATCAATAAAATCAGAGAGGTTTGTAGCCACTGAAAATGTGTCTATTAATCAAATGTATCATTTTAACATTTGAAATATTAAATACAATCTTTCCATATTTTCACTTATAATAATAACAATGAGACGTGATTAATTATTCTTTAAGTTGTGAAACTTTTAAAACAAGGAGGACACTTGACTTGAATCAATGTATAAATTCTGATTTCTCTTGGAAATGTATCAAAAATTTATACAGTGGCATAGGAAAGGAGATCACATAACACACTGGAAAACCATATTACTGACAGTAAAAAACTGCGGTTACAAGTTGAATAAGGCTTCAAATTAAAAGGTTTGTTAAGAAAAGATGGAAGTGTTAGGAAATGTAAATTTTGCATGTAAAAATACTTCAACATGGCCCAACTAACAAATCAAACCTAAAATCTCATGCCATAGACCTAAATTTATATTTACATTAGTCTATGGAATTACTCTTTTGGCTTAAAAAGAACAGAACTTTACAATCCAACAACCCAAGCGGCTTTGTGGTGCACTTTACTGAAAAGCTATCACGTATATGCAATTGAGTTTCAACATAGTAATTTATATGTGTATATAGATACGTTATCTATAAAAAATATGTATAATTTATAAGTATATAAAAATAACACCAACGATAATGTTACAATTTTGAAAAAAATCTAAATTTTAACTTTAACAGCTCTGAAAATGAACCAAAAATTGTCATAAGATTTTTAGAATAAATAGAAAAAATTTCAAAAGTTTCATTACAATTTTTGAAAGAAAACTGATGAAGTGCATATGTCGTAAAATTTGTTTAATCTCCTTTTTGTGAGTGTAGGGAAAGTATAGTACTCTGTGTATCTTTTATTTAGTTTAAAAAAATTATAACATAATCTTCTAAGCCGTATATTGAAAATATAATACCTCCTTACTCTATCTAACACTGTCTTTAACATTATACAATACAAATTAATTATTAATATAAAGCGAGAGAGGAAAGACGTTATTAATTTCACAATGGTTGTTTATATTTTTTATCTCGTCTCCTTGGCCTTTTTATTTTAAATATTAGTCTTAGTGTTTTTAATTAATTTTACCTGAATAATTAAATACAGTAAAAGAGGTCACTGTCTAGATAAAAATATATGCCTATGAATAGTTAGATTATCATGATGACTTTAACTGGGTTATGGTATTTCGTCACGAATACATTTACGTTTACTTTTATTTTATTTTATTTAGAGCACAAATGCTCAATCTTTTAATACATGAAAACATTTTTAATTACATCAAAAGAAAAATAACCTTCAAGCATAAATAAATACATATAAATATTTTTTTAATCATTCAAAAGAGCCGTTAAACAAAAATCTTCTTTGTATTATTCTGGAAATTCTCTTCTTATAATATACTTTTAATGTTCGCAAAGTCATAATTATGTTTATTCCCAATAAAATTCGTATCAAGCAGGAAAAACTTTAAAAATCTAAATAGAAACTTCATTTCTAAGTTAGTTATAGAAAGATATTTTTTTAAATGAGTTAATTTATAAACTATAAAGGTGGAACAGTCAAAAAGTGTCGATAAAATTAATAATAAATTATTTTATGAGTTATGACACCCGGAATATTATCTTTACAAATTTGAATAAATTTTGTTTTTATTATTTCGATACCGCGTTAAAAAGACCAAATATGTATGTATATAGTTGTACTTTGTAGATACATGAATATTCAGTGCCATAAATATTAGACTGATACAGTATATTTCAGAATATTAAATGAGACTAATATTTTTCTTATATTGATTATACTACACGTTTGAGACGCAACCTCTAAGCATTCAATAGATTTACCATGCGGTTGCCGGGTCCATCACATTGTGGGGAGAGGAGCTTCAGCAATGACTGGGACTTGCGACCCAGGGCCTTCGAAGTAAATTCCAAGAATAAACTAATATAAGTTCTGGACGGTCCCAAGTTTTAGTAGTAGTTTTTTAAAATAAAAAAATACGTATAGTATAATCCGACAATGGTTATACGTAAAGTTTCATTTAAATGAAAACTCGCAAAAGTCTTAGATCTTATTATCAACCCAACAGTTATTTCCTATAAAACTTTTCTGTTCGAAATTTCAACATTTTTTTCTTTTTGTGTTAATCATTTTCATATATTAGACAAAAATAGAAATGTTTTTTTGAACCTTAAACTAATCATAGGCTTATACAATTGTGAATGAGGTACAATATAAAAAAATTAAGAGAACTTTTTTTAGCTTTTTGATTTAATAATGATATTCAATAAATAATAAGTTATTCAATATATAATAAGTTATAATTACTTCATATTTTTTCTCGTAACTTATATGAAAAGAAAAAGTTAGACTTTTAAAAGTAAGTTATGATAAATTTTTAAAAAACTCTTCCGGTCATTAAATTTAATACATTTTTATGAAAATTTTAAATAGTGATTTTAACTTAAATAATAAATACGATCAAATTATAAAGTGAGAAAAATATAATCTTAACGACTAAATCTGTAATCTCAAAAAAGGTAACGATTAGATTATTATTACTTACATTAAAATTAAACTAACTTTGTGATAATAAATTAAACACTAATTCTTTTATCAAAGAACAACGTACTTAGAAGTCTCGTAATACACTACAACTTTGATCGATTGATAATCAGTAAATACTTTGTTAAATTCTATTAGTATTTAAAACTTATTCAGCTATTTTTATAGATGTTAAAATTAATGGTCATTTGTTTACAAATACATTTTAAATCTGTAATTATTGGTAATAGTTTATGCAAATACGAGTAATACAATGGATCATCTGAATACTATCAGATCTTGGAGTAATTATAAAAAACAGTTCAAATATCTGTCATCCATAAACAAAGGTAGGAAATGACAGTCCTCTGATTTTATATCGGTTTGGATATATTTATATAAATTATAAAAGAATATCAAGTAATTATTAACACTTGGAATTAATTTCAACTGATATTTATTTTTATCTAATTTAAAATATATTATTTTTCTCACTAGCTGATATACGAACACATGATATAGTTTTGCTCTTATAATTTCAAGTGTATTTATTATGAATTAGTTTTAAACGAATATCTAACTTTTCTATTTTTGTAGTAAATTTACATTTCTTAAATTTTCCTTTAAAATACATGTAGTTAGTATATAATTATTTTAAATTTTCAATGCATATCTAATAATATGGGCTTGATACTTTACGATCTGTATTATATAGTTACTTGTTCTTTCTTCATGTTCATCTTTATACATATTTTCTACATCGCTCGTTTTAGTTACCTAATCAATATTTTCTTATTATTTCGTCGTATTAATTGTAAAAATGATCTATATTCAACTACATATTTTAGTTAAAGTTTTACTAACAGATTCTTTCTTTACCTTGATTTATTTTTCTCATGACATTCACCTAGCAATTTCGTTTCAAGGTTAACTTTACTCTATTAAAGAAACTACGAGCATTTTAAAGATAGTAAAGTAATTGACAAGGTATACATGATTAACATTTTGTCACAGAAATATATTGAATAAAATTTATAATGAATCTTGACACCAAAAAACACTGGTCTACGCTCCAAAACAATATGCGTTCATCTTCATGTCACAAATGATAACCTCGGAACCGTCACAGACTCTAGATTATGTTAATGATCATCACTTAGTTAAAACTAAACTAGATCTAGGCCATTTAAATGAAACTAGTATTTTTCGGATAATACTACGCGACTTTATTTATATAATAAACTACATAAGTACGTACTCCCGACGTTTTGGCTACATTTCAGCTACCGATATCACGGGCAGATGAGATTTGAATATCTGTGAAAAGATCTAGGCCAACTCCTTATTCTTATACGATGACATGAAGATTCATAATGAGCTTATCACCTTCAAATGTATAAAGTATTACAACAGTAATTTTTCTGTGTTTTCCGTTTCAGTTTTCCAGTCTATATTATGGAAACCTTATTCCTTTCTGGACTAGTGCTGAAAGTAGCCCTTGCTAAGAAATCTTAAAGGTGTGAGAGCGAACGCCACTTAAGGTACCGATCTTCTAACCCATCAGTCCCGGTTATACTTTTCATTCACATTTGCTTACTGTTATTTTTTATGTCCGTCTGCTTGTTTCTAAAAAAAGTTCAAAATATGAGTAATGTTTGCAACAAGCATCTTTACATCCATACGTTAGTATGTCATAGTAGAAAGTACAGGATTAATAGTTTTCAAGAGGCCGATAACAAAAGAAGCAATCACACCTAAAATAAAACATTATCTAACAGCTTGGTATTCAAATTATTTATATTAATATATTATAAGAGGGTAAAATAGTGATAATTATATCATATCATTCATTGGACAATAAGAGGCATAAAGTTACATACATCAAATATTTTTATTTTTAGTAATTTTATAAAGACTTAATAATATAAAAAAACTATTCCTAGTATATTATTCTTTAGCGTTAATCATATTACTATTTATTCAGTTTAATTCATAAACGACCAATAAAAGTAATCATAATAATCAAATTATCAATTTTTATTGCTTATTGTTACAGTAGATTATCAGATTTACAAGATTTTTGAATAAAAATTATAAACCAGCATTTTTTTTACAATATAATACTAGTATTGTCTTATTTTGATAACAATCTATAACAAGATCTGTGTCTATAAAGTACATATCTGTGTCTATAAAGTACATATCTGTGTCTATAAAGTACATGTCTGTTCCTACATAAAACTATTAGCAATACATCTCCAAGTTAATTTGCTATCAAAACATATAGCAGTATTGACAAGACTTTAATGATTTTAATAGGATATTCGTCACAAGTCATTATAATTATTACGTCATTGTATTTTGTCCAAATATCAGTTTCTAGTAACCACAAACGAGACTCATTATTAAGGTGGCACTTCACTTGGCATTTATTTGTTGTGTTCAGGCAAATATGATCATGTGTGGAGGATTTATTCGTCTTCATTTGACATATTTGCACAAATAAGACACATACACAAATAAGCGAAAATGCGTAGACATGTTGTTCGCATGCCAAGTGTGGATGTAGTATTTGCGCTATTTGGACTACGTACAAATATTTAGACAAATGCGGCGAATACGAAACGCGAATACGCAACGCCATTTGAAGTGCCACCTTTACAGAAACATCCAATATATGTATAAATTTCTCGACTATTACTTCCAGATATAAATGATAAAAATGTAACCATCATAAAATATATATGGTGTTGAATTACTATAAAATTCTTATTTAATACATACAAAAATAATATTATATCGTAATTATAATGGAAAATATTTAAAAAATCACAAATATCACAGACTCTGGTGCAATGCTCACAGTTAGTACTTGATTTGAAAAGATGTCAAATAAAGTGAAAAGTCAAGCTAATTTTTCAACAAAATCAATTTGGAATTAACAAAAACTCTCAAAACTGAAATCCCAACGACATAAAGTCTTTTCGTATAATTGCTACAAAAATTCTTGATTTCTTTCAACATTACTATGTACAGTGTCGCATATTTCTAACTGCACTCCTACGTTTTTCTTAAAGTCAATTCCTAGTCATTCTTTCTGATACACTAACTTTTTCTTTAACATCATTTCTTATATAATAATATTTACATATATATTACGAACTTATCCGATTCACGCCTAAATTATTTTTTATTTATTCTCCTTGAATATAAGCTGTATTTTCTTGACCAGCCAAATATTTCGCCTTTCTTGTTTTCTTTTCCTCTATTTCTATCAATCTTTTGGCCTTTCTGTCTCTATATTCCACTATGAAGTAGAATACTACTCCTACAACCATAGCTATAATCAATATATAAGTCTTGATACTGGTTCTCAAGAACGGTGATATGATGTATGCGATGATGTAGCCCACTGACTCCCAAAGTCTGAAGTTAGAAAATGCAGCTTCTTCTCTACCTTTGAATAGAATTCCGTAGTAGGCTGGGAATAAAAACAGAAATTATTAAATTTTAAGTTTTTGATTTATTTTGTTTTTAAATAGGGATCACGATACTTTTGGCAAAATAAGATTATTCTCGTTCAGTACTTATACTTTTACTTCGTCATCGTGCTTTTCATAATTGGCTTTATAGAGAAATTAATAATGTATACCAAAATAATAAAGACGTAGTAAATAACTTTGAACAACCAAATGCAAGTTTCAATTCACAAATTCAAACTTAGTATTCTGATTTATACGCTACACAACTAGAAAACCTTATTAAAATGTGTTACTTCTAGAAGGATGTCTTTGAACTGAGTTTTAGTTAAAATTTATTGTAGAACTTCAATTACCATTGATCTGCACCAGCCATATAGAATCACAAAATCCCCACAAAATAGCGATGATGTACATAATGTATAGTTGGTGCTGTTGTGGACTCCATGCCAGCAGCGATATCAATAAGAGGCTGTGTAGGACCGTAGCCATACCGATCATAGGCATACGACCAGTTAACTGAAATATATCAAAAACAATGCTAACTACACAACATAATAAATATTTGTAATATATATCTACAACTTTTTGCCATATAGATATCTTTTATAAGTATAAAATCTAATGTAAAATATCTTGGAAATTTTGGTTAAGCAAAATTAAAGCCGTCACGAAATTTAAAAGTACAGTCTAACGTTTTTGGGTATTGGCTTGACTTAATTATTAATATATATATTCAGCGGTTCTTCCCCTCACCTTAGCTAAATATCCAGTCACGACACATCCAATAGCGTCTGCCAAACCATAGGCCATCATGACAAAACCCACAGTTCCCGTACCAACGGCACATGAAACGAACGCCTATAAAAAAAGTTAATAATTTACTCATATTATAACTATAGAGATATTATACTTAAAGTAATTTTGACAATTGAAAATAATGGACTAGCACTTCAAACTGTGGGTCGCGACCCCTAGTGGGGTTACGAAGACTTAGTCGGAGGATCGGTAGCAAAAAGAAAAAGGTAAAAAGTTCTACACTACAATAAAAACTAATTTTTAATGAGAAGGATGGGCTTGTTTATTCAAAAATACGTCAATTCGTGGTGCTATATTGTTAAATATTATATTTGAAATCAACTTGTAATTGAAGTTTATTTCTCCTTTTTATTTTGATGTCCACCATTACAGAGAATGTCTTTAACTTTATGTCTTTAGACTCTTAATTTAAGAATTTCGTTGCCTGTCTATGACAGAAGGGGTTAGCTAAAATGTTTCAACCCGTAAAGAGGTCGTAATATCAAAAATATTCAAAAACACTGGACTAGCATATAGGAAGAACCAACCGCAGTAAAATCAGCCCCGAAGAAAGCCTGCTGCATGCCCACGAAGATGTTAATGATAACCAGCATGAGTTGGTTTGGCTCCACCAGTAACTTGACTGTGACCGCGAGGAGCGCCATGCCCGTGAGACTGGAACCGGTCTCGCTACGACTTGTCTTATACCTGATGATGATAGATGAAATATATCTTATATGTAGCTTAAAAATAGTTGAAGCTCGAAAAATTATAACAAATATCACATAAAATTAAAATTCTTAAAATTTCATTAAATCAATTTCTTTTAAATTCTGTTAGGTAGAGAGAGGAGCTTGGACAATTTAGATGAGCGGTTAAAGTGCGCTAGATAGGGCCCCCTTAAACCTACACCTGGGTCGCAAGTTCCGGGCACTGTTGAAGCTCCTCTCCCTGCAACTATGGACCCGGCACCCACACGGTGAATCCATTAAATGGTAAGAAGTTTTATCTAGTCTCTTTGAAATGTTAATTATTATAGCAAGTCTTAATTTTCAAATTAAACTTGAGAGATTTGTTGTAAAATTTCTGAAATTCCAACCTTTTCATTGAGTCCACGCCGATAGCAACAATGAGTGCGGCACCGGCCATACACGCCAAATAAATGCCTGGAAACAAATAAAAGTTATTAATATTAAATACTTCTTATAAATTGTACTAGAGACGAAACCTCTTAGCATTCAATGGATTCAATTTTTCAGGCATTTTTCTTATTCACAGTAAGAACGAAATCTACTCATTTATAATAAAATAAAAAAGCAACAAATAGAAAATTAACTTCAGTCCAGTTATGTGGAAATCGTGTGGTCAGAACAACTGTTATAAATTGTTTAACGTTTTTCAGTGATGAATAGAATAAATATTAAATCGATTAGGTATATTATATTTCTAGTAAATTATTAATCCAAACATATTCTCTAACTTAAAAATGACCCAAATCAAGGAGCATTAAATTGTTGTCAATAATTGAAGCCCAAATTACAGCATATTCTTTATGATTTGGTATACAATAACTTATTTACCGGCTATCATCTGTATCTTCTCTGGAGGTTGTTGCTGCAGAGCCTGTCCCGCGTCTTTGGTGGGTAGGAAGTTGGCTCCGCAGAGCTGAGGTATGAAAGAATCGTTGACTGTTGTCACAGCCGCCACATTATCACCAGATGATATCACTGCAAAGTAGAACAGCCAAGAAATGTTTAACAAATACTTTATAAAGATCCATATCATACTCTTATACACATTATATCAAGCAATGCATGCTTATTCAGTGGTGGCCTAGTGGTTAAAAGGCCCGCCTCTCATGCATGAGGGCGCGGGTTCGATCCTGGCAAGTACCAATGTGATTTTTCCCAATCATATATACTTTCTAAGAGTATTTAGGCATCACTGCTTAACGCATTCCCAAAGAGGGTTGATGTCAGACAGGCGGCCGGTCGTATAAACAATTAGCCAAAACTATTCACAGTATGCAAGGCAGACCCTGGCCAAAGCTGGGAAAACTACCAGGTAGAAGAAAAAGATCAAGCAATGCATGCATGTATGTATAAATGTTTAACATTACCTAAAGATGAAATAAGATTCCCCCATACTTGATTGAATTGGAAGATCATGAAAAACAAGCCCAGAAATCGGACTAATAACACCTCCGGTGAAATGTCTGATATCATGCTATGTGCCTCTGATATCTGTAATATTAGAACAATGACATATTATTATTGTTACTGTATATTATTAAATGCATAAACAATATTTTTTATTTTCAATGAAACAAAAAGAAATCAATATTAACGACATGTTTAATTCGTTCCGAAGTTGTAAATTCAAAACTGTTGTACATTTTTTGTATACTTTTTATTTAAAAATTATTTTCTGAATAACGAAATATGCAGCCATTAGTTCACGTGAAAAGAAAAACATTAAATATAAATACTTATGAATATTGCATGGCCTTGCACATAAAAGATCATTTGGAAGTCTGTCGCATAATATGCAACAATATTTCTTTAAAACATGCTTTATTAAATTCACACAAATAGGTATTTAAAAATTTGTAAAGACAACTATCTTTGACAGGCGTTTTAATGAAGAAATATATAGGATTTTCTCACAATTCCAGGTCCTATTGATCAAGTTAGAGAGCTATTGCTTATAATTTGATAACTTACCACAGACAAGTAAGTGCACTTGGCGCACCACAAAGGTCCACCTCCTAAACCAACTATCAAAGCAGCTGGTATGAGTGTGTAAAAAGTTGGATACAATTGTGCAGCTATGTACGGCATATAAGTTATAAAGGATAGAGATATCGCCCACTTTGTGCCCAGCCATCTTAAAAGAAAAATTCATATTAAATTTTAGCTAAGGAAGATAAAAAATCTCTTTGCTAGACGGAGTCAATAAAATAAATAGGTTAACATGTTAAAAACATACATATTAAAAAGTTAGAAAATTAACAACTGAACTGTAAAATAGATCTATTATGTTGCACCTGAGATGAATTGCTTAAAATGTTTCAAATTACAAACAATGTGAAACTACAGAATCAAAGGTATTCAAATAAGTAATTGTAGGGTTTTCTATCATTCATTTCTTATTTCTTAACTACTTCTTTAGATTTTCAAAATAGAGAATGGTTAAAATAAAATTAATCGGTAAAAAAAATCTCTAGGAATATGAGGTACAAATCTGTGTACAACTCAGGAAATCTCTTAGAAAATAAAATAAGACTGTATGTACAAATGAGGAAATGGAATTGCTCTCATCAAAAAGGTCACATTATTCATATTCACTTTGTAAGTAATAATTTGTTTATATATTTGAACTTACTTGATAATAACAACAGGTAGGAATATATTAGAGAATATAAGACCAGCGTACACCGCCGCTAAGGAGACTGTACCAAGACCGGACTCCGCATTGATGGAGCTTTGAAGATTTGCTGCGCCCTAAAAAAAAAGTTAGATAAAAATACGTTCTCTCTTTATAGTATATACCAAGCATTATAACTATCATTTAGGTACGTGTTATCTGAAACAATACTATAGTGAACAAAATTTTAAATATTTAATATACCTAGAAAATTATTCGAATAATTGCATGTTTATACAAAAACTTAAATATTTAAATATCTGTCTTATTGATCTTCTATCTTATTGATACCCAACAGTTATAGGTAATCTATTTAGTAATGATTTACTCTGTTTCTCTATAGAATGTATTAATTTATATCAACCATTTCCCATATTATATATGTATATTAATCAACTCACACTGTAGGCAGTAAAATGCACCATGAAAGCTATGCTGATGATGATAGCGTTTTTCATTATCCGCCATGTTTCCCTCGGTTTGTATTCAACTTGAGGATCCTTCATTGCAACTAATTTCACCAGAATTTGATACTCAGTCTGATTTTTCACAACTATATCACTCACTGATGCTACAATGATAATGAAATATAAGTACATCAATGAATCACAATATATCTATTAACTTCAAGTATCAATAACTAAATGTAGCTGTTAAAATAGTTCTTAATGACATCGTTAATTATAAAACTAATAAGTAATTACCGATTCCGATAAACGTTTTAAAGTTCTTCACCTGTCTGTGTGTGTGTAATAATGCCAAAGGTTCCTCGTGTTCAATCTGAAACAATCACATATAATAATAACAGTTCGACGTGTTTTTATCGGACATACGTGCCTCTAACACACGTACACTTGAAAATTAAAATGTCTGAATAAAATATACAGTACCTAATATTCATAAATTTTTAAGATGTATTTTCTACGAGACTAATATTATTTACGTATTAGATAGTCTACTTATATTGTACATCACTTGATTTAATATTGGAAAATACTTCAGAAAATGTATTTTGTTTTCGCCTCTAATTAATTACTTTGTAAAGTTTTAAGCTTTGGTCGCTGCGAATAATGACAAAAAGACAAGTGTAATATCTAAATGTCCTGTTGTAACAATCTAATTAAAATAGAAGGTTAAAATTCTATAACGAAAAATAGACTATACATATTGACAAACTTAATAAGGCCCTAAAAATTGTGGCACAGGAACAAAACATTGTTCAATTTCTCGAAATGCTTAGTACGTACTAATTTTATACTTATGTAACTGAACTAAATAAAACACACAAACTACCTACTACTAAGTGTTATATGATGGATAAACACAGCTACTATCAGTAGTATCTACTGATCTGTACCTATTCTAAACGCTTATACTAAACTAATAAAATCAACGTAAACTACATAAATTAATGCTCAATGAAGAGAATGCGAAAGTAAAAAGAATATTGTAAAACGTAAAACCAAGCAATTTTTGTCATAGTCAAAGATCATGTAGGTATGTCCAACAACTAGTCTGCACGTTCGTATAAGCATAATATTATGTGTCCTCTATTCCCTGCTGCCCACGTCCCGCTCATCGCTGCCCACTCACGCGTGACAACGCTTAATTTCGGGATTGGGACTGGGATTAAAGGTAGGCTATGTACTTCTATAGGGTTTAAACTATGTCTTAAAAAACTCGTTAAAACGTAACAAACAGACTGAGTTACTTTCGCATTTGTGATAAAAGCTTGGATATATCTATTAGTCAATTCAAAGCTTTGTAATGAACTATATTTTTTGCTTTGGTATTTGTTGCGTAAATTAACAAAGATGACGGTTTATCGACGCTTGAACACGCGACATATAACTATCCAGTTGGCAATTTTTTTTTTTTTTTACATAATGAGAATAAATATGTAGATGGAAATATATGAAATTCTTATAAGTTATTCATTTTAAGCTATTCCTCTTAACCATTTTTTAAATGACGGGAGACACATAACAGGAAAAACGAAATCGTTTTTATTTAGCACTTTAATGTTTATAAACCTTTCAAACCTTTCCTGAACTTGAACGATTATTATTTCAGAACCACAATTAGCCAAATCAAATTTTAGCGAGATTAACGAACAGCAATCAATTTTTATATCCAGATTTTAGATATACGAAAAAATTATTATATAAGCTATAAATGGCTGACTTTTTCAACGAAATGAAAACGGAAACAATGATTGTGAGATTTTTTTGTCAATATGTTTGTGTAAAGCTATCTCACAAACTATAAATTATTTATTTTACATTTATTTTTTCTAATACAGAAATTATCGCGATTTAAACAATCAAAAAGTTAATAACTCCAAGCATCACGTGTAAGAAATCACGTGCAGAGTTTGTCTCCAACAATATTGTATACAAATTAACATTTTCAGTCATTAAAATATTAACGGATTCGGTGGAAACAAACGTAACTTCAAATAAATTGTAACAGCCATAACTTTGTCACGTTTATGTGAGTGGCACTGAACTGATTATATATGCACATAAAATTAAGTATCTTTACAAAATACACAGACACACTGTCTAAATATCTTTAACAACGGATGCAAGGTTAATGTTAAATGAAACGAATTTACCCGTTAAGGTAACGACGAATAACGTTAACTGTTTGTTTTAACGACTCGTCAAAAGTATATAAGACAAACAGAAAACGTTTCTATCCTGCTTTTATAAAACTTGTTTTTATTAATGGATGGTTGTAAATAGAAGTGCTTGGGACACGGTCTTGCAAAAGCTAGTAATTAAATGTAGGTAAGACGAGTTTCTAACTTTCTACATCGGGAAAACGAATAGGACAAAATATACAACGAAACTCTGTAAGTGTCTCCCATTCAGAAATCTTCGTACTGCGTACATCTAGTTTACTAATAGCATTACCTGTCTTGTCTATATTTAATTTCGTATACGTTATTGGTTAAGAACTGATGTTAAAACATAAAGAAACTAAATCACACGACACAGATCAGAGATAGTTCACTAACTGGTAATCACATATTTTTAATTCTTAGCTGCTAGACATGCCTTCCTGAACAAAATTTCGAATACCATGCAAACTACGTCGAAGGAAACGCTTGTCTAGTACAGAGTTTAGACTGAATGATTTAAATTTAATTATTTAAAGTAAATATGAAATGCCATTGCACTGAGAAACAACTTCAATGAGTCTTATTATTCTTCTTAATTATATTAACAATAAACATACCTTTTTTCTTAGAAAAATATTAATTTGAATATCAATCGATCTGTGTTCACAAGTTATAACTTAACAATATAAATAAATATTTCTTTTTAAAATTATTATGTGTTGAGTACATACGGTACTTTTTTATAAATTTTTGTCAGTAATACTTTATAGTAATACTTATATTTAAAAGTCAATGACGCATTTTAACTAGACTTGTTAGGCTGTCAAATACTTTTTAAATGAAGCAATTTCATAAAATAATATTAAATGACGTAAAAGTGATTAAGCAAAGGAATAAACGTATAAAATCTTTATATAAAAAGTGACTATTTTGCAGTGTTAGTTGCACTATTTATAACTCAAAACCGGCTGTACGGGTTTGGCTGGAAAGATAGAGTGGAACCACGAGATACTTTACATTAGATTAAGAAAGAAAAGAAAAGATCAAAACCAAAATCTTCTTATCTACTGTCTTAAACGAGAAATAAAGTTCGCCCGTTAGCATGATGTATCTACCTATAAATGTTTGTCACACCGAGTTTTAAGTTATGTGTATTGTATATCACCAAAAACATGCCTGTTAAAAAGGGGGCCAAGTTCCAATCGGCTAATTGTTTGCCTAAAAAAGGGGTGAAATCCAATCTAATGCCAAGTTTAGATGCACTTTGAAATCGATCATAATCATCTTCATCAACAGCATGATCCACTGGTAAACATTTGCCATTCCCAAGACTCGCCACCACACCCAGTCCTCTGCCTTCCACATCCAGCCACTACCCGCCACCTTATTCACGTCAACGGTCCATCTGACCGAAATTCACTTACCATACACCCAACTTAAAATATGGTATAGTTGTGAAAATACGTAGGTGCTTGGTTAAAAATATCTAAAATTATAATACTTCTCAATTTGAACTTGTCAGGTTTTTGTGCTGTACGTAACACTTAATTAATTGTATCATTAATTTATTATTTAGTTATATAATTATTTATATTTATATAATTTAAATATTATATAATTTAAATAATTAAATTAACCTGCCAAAATTAATTTAAAAATAAATTAACAAACAATAAATGGTATTTTTGTGAAAAAAAAGCGTGATGAGCTTCATATATCACTTCTTGAGAAGCGCCCCACGCTTTTTTTTCAATAATACCATTTATTGTTTATTTTAAACAATTTAAATTAAATTGATTTCCAAGGTTGTAAAGGTTAAATTAGTTTCCACGCAGTTTCTTTCATCATTGGAGCGTGTTTTTTAGTTTTTTTTAAACTATATTTATTTTTTATTTTTTAGTTTCATTTATCACCGATTGATAGATGTACTCATATTATTAATTATTAATATTTCATTATTATTTTTTTTGATTGTGCTGAGCTGAGCGCCTATATACAGGTTTTGATTACCTGTCAGTGAGTCAGTGCCAAAATTAGCTATTTTCACAGGGTCATATTTCAGGATCTACTGACGCTTTATCTATGAAATTTGGCATACTGCTTTAGGACTAGTATATGATTACATAGGTACAATTTTATCTCTGTACTTGCAATAGACACTGAGCTACAGGGGGTCAAAAGTGGATCGAATTTATTAAAAATTCGATATTTAGAATTGAGGCAACTCACGCTTGACCGATTTCTTAAATTTCTTAATTTTTTGTTAATCTACATATAACACACAACCTGTGTACCAAATTTCATAATGCTAAAACAATGGGAAGTGGCCTAGAGGTTTTGATTACCTGTCAGTGAGTCAGTGCCAAAATTAGCTATTTTCACAGGGTCATATTTCAGGATCTACTGAAGCTTTATCTATGAAATTTGGCATACTGCTTTAGTTCTAGTATATGATTACGTATAGGTAAAATTTTATCTCTGTACTTGCAATACGCACTGAGCTACAGGGGGGTCAAAAGTGGGTCGAAACGGTTCGTGTAAATATAGTGCACGGCATGCGCCGGCCTGTGGAACTTGGCCGGCGCACTACCGTGCGCTTAGATTTTTCTTAGGTATGTGATGATGTGAACAAATGTTGGTCGATCAAATAAAGAAATAAATAAATTTCATAACTAACGCAGACGAAGTCGCGAACAAAAACTAGTATTATATATATATATACTTGAAATATTTGGAAAGGCAATGGCGGTAGTTCAGCCCTTTTACGAGTACTTACTCTATGAATACTAGGAATTTCATAACTAAAAGAATAAATGCAATTCTGCTTTCACCTTCTATATATTATTTATATAACGAGTTATTGGGTTTTAATATGAAACG